GTTGTTCTATTCTTCTATATGAAGTATGTGACTATGTTGTGTTCCAGAAGGGCGGACAGTTTTAATTTTTCTAATTGTTGCAACTGATTGAAACACAGAAGACCAACCCTGCGCCACCATGACTCCATTGCAAAAACCAAGCATAATTTTAGCATGAAATTATTAACAAAATTTCTATCTATAGATTTATATAGTACAGTATCTGCACATAACATACATGAAAATATAATTATTTTTTGGGTCCTGTTCAGTACCAACGTTTTGACAAAGTCAAAGCCATGAATTTAACAACTGCTAAATGACTTCCTCATCAATACAGAATTGGACGTCTGAGGCAGGAACACCCTTGATAATCATATCTACCATCTCAAATTTGTCATAATTATCAGGAAATTTCCAAAGGCATGTACAGTGCTTGATGCCACTGAAATGGTGCGATTTTAAATTCATTTGAATAAGTTTGTGGAACTTTTTCTATTTGGAGATTTATAAAACGAGCAGGTGTTTCATCATGAAATTTTCTTTTACATTTATTCATTTACAATCTTGTTCAGAACAATTGTGAGCATTGACCTTGCAAGCGGGAAGATAATGAAAAGGCCTTCCGTAAAAATCATATTTATCCGTCGAAAAAGACTCATGACTGACGGAAATGCCTTTATCAATCAATCAATCAATGAACACTCGTACCATAAAAACATCATATTTTTTACAATTAGTTTAGCTTTGGTGACTAGATATTTCATTGAATGAGAGGATCTGAATTTCATCATTATTTATAAATAAATAAACTGAGAAGGATGGCTGATGCATGATGGCTGTGCATATGAAGTAAGCAAAGATCAAGAGAAAAAGGAGACTTGTAACATACTGTAAATGCATCTAAGTTTATGCAATAATGCCATGCACGCAAAAAAAACAACAACAAAAACACCGCTATACAGTACTCACCACTGGGGTATGGCCTGATTTCAAAGGCCACTTGGGCCTCGCATCCCAACAATAATGCGGCGCAAAACAGGATCAACACTTGCACCAGTTCCATTATAATGAATAAATATATATACCGCCGTTATTACGATGCCCAACTATATAATGGTACAAGAGGGTCACAGTATACAGCAGCACTAATACGGCGATGATTATGCTGATGCCAGGAAGTATTTTCAGCAATAATACACAGTATATACTCGTCAGCTATATTTACATGCGGTCTTATATACACAGCATGAGCATGTATATATTTGTTCAAGTGAGAAATATATACTGTATAATGCTGCGATGGGCGACGGTTGAACCGAATCTGATGGGAATCGGTGGCCCCGACTGGATCTTATATAAGCGAACAACTGCCCTAAAGGTCGTGGCATTTGCTGCTTCTGCGACTGATTCTGGAAAATGTCGCCAGCACGGACGAGCCGAGCATGATGATGGTACCATCAGCACTGCTGCTGGTCTGATGGTCTGGTCTGCTGGTCGTCGGCTTTACTCGTCTGCGCCTCGCAAGTGGTATTATGATAGGCCATCAGCATAACTATATAGAATATTGTACATGCAGTCGAGTGTAGCGCGGACACGAGCCGAGCTTATCGCAAATTACAGTACAGTACAGTACAGTATATACCCGTGACTTGTGTACACACACTGAGTTCAGAAATGTGCAACTTATTTTGAACAAAGAAAACAAGTTCATCATCCGGTTGCTCTTTTGTCTCATGTACATACACAACGGGACGCGCCCGGCCCTCCAAAAAAAAAAAAAAAAAAAAAAAAAAAAAAAAAAAAAATCCAGAACATATGTGATTGGCCAAATTTCTGAATATAGCTTCCAGAAAAGGGCCCGAGTAGTACTATGGGTCTTATAAAAGTTGTACGCACTTTTTGAACAGTTTTCAAGCGACTTCTGAAAAAAGTACAGTTGAACCCCGTTAAACCGCCCCCCGATTAACCGCCACCCTCGCTTCCCGCCACTTTTTCTTCTGAAACAAATCTTCCCTAGCTTGAAGGGATGGGAGAACCCCGTTTAACCGCCATCCGCCAACCGCCAATGTTTTTTGCCAAACAAACAGGATCTTGGCACTGTTCTTTACCCCAATAAACCGCCAACTTTTCAAGGTTTTCTTTTTCTTAGTGATATTTTTCAAGATTCCATTTCTCATGCTTTTTTAATTCTTTCAGGATGATGAGAAGTTCTTCAAAGTTGGTTATTTCAGGTTGAGTTCATTTAGGTCAGATTATATTAATTTAGAATGGATTAAATAAATGTGTTCTTATTCTTTTTGAAATTTCCTTTGACTGAAACCTCAACCTGAGTCTTTTCTGTTGTTTAAGATGGATTGTTTGAGATAGATGACCTAAAAAAACCAAGCATGGAAGAACAACCCAATGAGGTGGAGGCTTGTAGAGAAAAAGCAAATCACAAGACAATCAGGAATAAACACTACTATAGAAGCAAATTTGAAAATATTGAAATTTTAAATTTTAGTAAAACTTTGGCTCATATATTTGTATATGATGGCTTTACTCTTGTGAATTTTGCTAGTGAGACAAAATAGAATGATTGTGTAATCCAGCAGCATAAGCCAAAAGTCATTCCTACCATGCATTTGCACTGTACTCCCCTCCATCTCAATATTTTTGTCTTCCATCCTTCAATTTTTGATGACATGCAAAATGAATTTCTACACATTCTTGTACAGAACTTAATTCAAGAAAAATTAGCAATAATTTGCATTTGCACTGTACTCCCCTCCATCTCAATATTTTTGTCTTCCATCCTTCAATTTTTGATGACATGCAAAATGAATTTCTACACATTCTTGTACAGAACTTAATTCAAGAAAAATTAGCAATAATTGAAGAAAACCTGTATAAGAATCGGTTTTAATAAGTTGAGTTGGTTTTAATTGGATGTCATAGATTCATAAAGACCTAACTTACTTGACTAGGGTTGGTTGAACTTGTTATAGGAGAACTTTCGACTTTCAGTAATTATAATAATGTTTTCTCTGTTTAAAGATGCAAAGAATGTTAGATTTATGTTAGAGGTTTAAACGTTTTTTTCATTTAATACACTTATGCATTCATTGAATACTGCCACAACCCCTCCCTCGTTAAACCGCCAACCCCGTTAAACCGCCAAAATTCTGCTGCACAAACGTTGGCGGTTTAACGGGGTTTGACTGTACATTATTCATAGCCCATTTTTTCTGATGACGCCTTGCATATGTAAAATCGCAGGTAAATTGCTGTATATAATAGCATCTAATAGATACAGTACAACTAACATTACAGTACTTCGTTTCAGAACCTTATTTTCAGATTACAGTTTTTAACATTCTTTTATACCAGTTCTTTATATAATCTAACTTATCCACGCGTGAATATGAACGTTAAAAATATTTATAATTAATCATCAACATTTATTCAGCATACCGTGTACTGTATATGCAGCTGCTTATTGGAAGAATCCGCCGAGATATGGACAATTCGACATTTATTCCGAGATGCTTCAAACCAAAAATCTACCTCAACATCTGGACAATATTTTATTCAGATAGATGGTCACTTTTTCGCCAACATTACAAGAAATTTTCAAAATTTGTATTATCATAGTTTCTTACGACATGACTTATAACTCTTGAAGAAATTGAGCTTTATAAATTCACAAAAATTGCACTTGAATTTTAGCAAAAGATTACTCCAATTCTTGATAAAAAAAAGCAGGCTATTTTTGTGCTTCTGCTTTCAGAGTTATACTGTACTTCCATCATCTGTGCACAGTACAGTACACTAGAAACTTATTGTTCTTGATCTTTGCTCATTGTGTTGCCCCTTACTAGGATGCCAAAAGATCAGATTCTGTGTGATGATTTTCTTCTGCTCAGCTATTTTTTGTTTCTTTTTTGCACCTTGAAGTTGAGAAAAACAGCATTTTATTCTATAATTTTGTCTTAATTTTTGATGAACAGGAGAACCAATTACAGAATTTTCCCATTAAAGTCTACGGGACAACACATATATGATCCAAAATATGGAGAAGGTCATCCAAGTAACAATTACGTCCGCATCTCGGGGCCCCGCTAATACGCTTATATAAACGAAGCTGACTTCTTCAATCACTCGTGAGTGTCGTGACGAGTGATTGAAGAAGTCAGCTTCGTTTTGACTATCGAAACGTGCTCGTATACGTCCCATAAAGACCATCAACTATTCCCTTAGGAAAAAAAAAACCCTTTCCTTGCATGTTGGACTGCCTTTTGAAGCGAAAACTTGCTCACCATACGAACACATATATCGACCCATTACTGCCCAAATATGGAAGGCAGAGAGAAGCAGCAGAAAAGCATCATCATCCGGCGACTCTTCCAAGAATATGGTCGCATTCCAGTTGATATAACGAGTATTATACAATGAACACTGTGATGGGAAATTCCCGAAGGCCGAAGGTCACATATAATCAGCAGTAAATTTAATTATCATTCAGATATCTAATTGATGAAGGAACCTGCCTTGCTGAACAGTATTATTCCGTGGAAATGAATTCGAATAATGCATACATTCCAAGTTCAGTTGTTGTCTTTGTTGTCTGAAATTGGGCGAGGGAATATTGGTTCATCTTGACGCGAAAGCGCGCCTCACAAAAAATAGTAGGGCAGCTGTCATGTAGATGTCGCTAGCGCTTACTCTAACTTGTCCGTAGAATGCGTAGATGAAGACGGTAGTTGGGGTTTCCCCACAGCACAGGATATCCTGGAGTGGTATCGGAAGGTTGCAGCATGCCGAAGCTCCGCAGTTTTTCTTGGTGAAAAGTCGTGGCTTATAAATTAAAAAATCGTGACTGGTTATTGTTAATGAAATATGCGTGATTGGGAATTCATTTATCCCACGGGACATTCATTGAGTGCTGTCGAGGGAAAACTTGGGCGTATAATTTCCTAGACCTAGAGAGTGAGCTGAACTTTCAAATTTTTCGAGTTAAGGTTGATGAGCTTCTGATGATTTTTCTAGGGATTTTATTATGGTTCCCGTTCAGCCGGGCTTGGAAAATTTTCGTCTTATCCTGGCGTTTGCGGATGAGGAAAGATGTATCCCGTATCTAGTCGCGAGTTAATGGAAGTGATATGTTCGCTGAGCATGAATGATTCCGGGTTGAATCTGAATGCTGGGAAATGGGCTCGCAGATGCCGTCACGTTATTCAGGATGACTCCGACTCTACTAGTTCTTCCGTTGACTGTCCGGAAGAAGAATCATTTCCTAATGAATATAAATACATTGAAAGTTTGCATCCCGTTCAAGTGAGTACACATTTATCCTTCGTGTTCATCTCTTTAAAGTCATGTTTTTTTTTTATTTATTTGTCGACAGATGTTGGCGGGATTGAACGATCTCCGGAAAAGTGGTACATTCTGTGATGTCAAACTGAACGTTGATGGGGATAATTTCCCTGCCCATAAAGTGATTCTCGCTTCTTTCAGTCCGTATTTCAAGGTTTGTTCCTTATTCGAGATACAGTGTACCGAATAAATTATACTGTACTTTACCAGTGATTTTCTTAATTCTTCAGGCTATGTTTAACACCCCGATGGCCGAAGCAGAGCAAGACGTCGTTCATTTGAGAGGTGTGGAAGCTCAAATGATCGGGTTGTTGATCGATTTCGCGTATACGAGCGAAATAATTATTACCCAGGCAAACGTGCAAAGTTTGCTTTCAGCTGCGAATCTCCTCGAGTTTTCATCCGTTCGTGACGCGTGTTGCCAGTTTATGGAGAAGCACATCGACGCACACAATTGCATCGGGATCCATTGTTTCGCCGAAGCGCACGCTTGCGAGCCGTTGCAACAAAAGGCTAAGGAGTTCATCTTGAAGTATGCTTGGAATTAGTTACTGTTTATTCAGAAAATGCAACCAGAGCTTGTGGATTTAGAAACTTCATGACGGTTTACGTGAATGAAGAGTTCCTGAAGCTGAGTCAGTCGAAGTTGATTGAGTGTTTGCGGGATGAAGATCTGATTGCGGACAAGGAGGAAACCGTTTTTGACGCGGCGGAGAGATGGTTGAATCATGACATGGAATTGCGCAAGGATGAGTTTCATCTGGTGTTGGAGAACGTACGTTTGGCCCTGCTGAGCCCGTATTTCCTTCACGACCGCGTCGAGAAGTCGCCGATCGTTCAAGCCTCGCCTCAGTGTCTCGCTTTTGTGGAAGAGGCCAAGTTATTTCATTTGCTTCCTGGACGTCGACCCGAAATCAAGAGTGTGAGGTGTAAACCTAGAAATAATTCTACTGTCACTCAGGTTAGTGCTCTACAGTTTCACCTTCTGATGATGATGCTGGTCGTCAATTAAATGATCCCTCTTCCGCAGGTTGCAGTTGCCGTAGGTGGCGAAGATGCTAAAGTTGTCCTCAGATCCGTTGAATGCTTTTGTCCGACGAGAAAAGTGTGGAAAACGTTGGCTTGTTTGCCCTATGCCATTAGCAAGCATGGTTTGGTTGTTTCCGGCGAAAACGTCATGTACCTGGCTGGTGGAGAGTTTCCCGACGGAAGTGCATCCAGGGCCGTCTGGAGATACGACCCCGTATTTGACCAGTGGCAGGAAATGGCCCAAATGCTAGAGCCGCGATCTGAATTAGGTAAGTTCCGATGTTTATTTTCATTGTAGTTGGTGAAGATGCTTATGTAGCCCCATGATATGTTCTATGAGTTACACCATACATGGACGCCATCTCCTTATACCGTATCCTATTTTTCTTATCTGGTCTGTGGGAGTTTGTTGTGACGAGATTTTATTGCATAAAAAAATAATAACACCCAAACTTGGATTTAGACATGACTTAAACCTGAACTCATAATATTTATATGCTTAACGATATTTTTATACTGGTCAAAAATTTCCTATAAGAATCAAGTATAGTAGAATGCAAACATAAATTTTAAAAATTTTACTTCCTGCCCGCTTTTGTGGCACACCCCCTTTTTTTCCTTGTCAAAATTTAAAAAAAAAATAGCGAGTGTTACTAACTAGAGTAAGTATGGTAATAGCAATAATATTTTCAGGTCTCGCCATGGTGGATGGTCAGATTTATGCCGTTGGCGGCTGGGAAGGTTGTCAGAGACTCAAGACAGTAGAACAGTACAATCCAGCGTCGAACACGTGGAAACTGGTGGCACCGTTGAAGTTGGCCGTCACTTCGCCGGCAGTGGTGGCCCACGCGGGCCATTTGTACGTGACTGGCGGCGCCATTCTCGAGGACGGCGACGGAATTGAACTCGTACAACGTTACGACCCATTGACTGACAAGTGGGTCGAACTCGCCCCGATGCTCATCCCACGCTCTGGATCAGCAGCTTGTGTTCTCGGTGGCTTTATTTATATTCTAGGTAGGTTTCACAATCAAAATGATAGTGTTTTGCCAAATTTTTGTTGAAACTTGAAAAGTTTTTTCTTTTAAGGAGGATGGCACGCATCAACGGAGAACACGAACAAGGTTGAGCGGTACAACATTGCGGAGGACAAGTGGGAGTTCTGCGAACCGATGGTCGAAAGAAGATACAGGCCCGGTGAATAAAACATAGCTTTTCTACTGACTGATCACCTCGAGGTGTTCTGTATTGCATGTTGGAATTGAGGTGAATAAGGTGTTTGTTGCGTTGTTGTAGGCGTTTCTGTGATCGAGAACCGAATATACGTGATGGGTGGCGAAGAAGGCTGGGACAATTATCACGAGTCCATTGAAAGTTACGACCCAGACAGCGATTCCTGGGAAATCGTGGCTGACATGCAGAGTGCAAGATCGTGGCTTTCCTGCGCTGCAGTTTTCATTAGGAAAGATTTATTTAATCAAGAGAAATCTTGAAGAACCGCCCAGCTTATTGAAAGGAAGGAAGCGATTACAAAATTAAAGGCTTTATTGTACCCGTACTCCGGAATATTAATGTGTTGAACCGATCTCTGTCCATCGAAGTATGTGCTTGGCGTCGTTGGTCGAAATTTTGAAGCCCTACCATTTCTTTTTTAAAAGGGCTTCTTCGATACTTCGCGACTGTAGTGATAATTCGTATATGATTTGCTTGACGTTGAATTACAAAATGTCTTTGTTCCGATTTGCTTGCTTGTTGACAGATTTTTTCGTTTTGCTATCATCGCCAATTCCGGCGAAGGAATATTGAGAATACGTGAAGTGGTCCAGAAATTCGCAGAATTTTTATTGAGACAGCGAGTAATATATCAATTTTGACGCATTTTTCCAGCGTGCAGTATAATTTTTTTTTCTATTTTCTAACTTTGGATTTTTCATGTCATATAATCACTGACACCGTGTTTCGTAATTTTTTTGGTCAAGTGAAAATTGAGGGATCATTTGAATGATCGGAAGCCGCTGTGAAAATGAGGAAAAATTTGTCAAACTTTGTAATAATAGTGTCGAGAAGTGTTGAAAACTTCGGATTTCTTATTGGACACTTGTTTTGCTTGTGTGTGCTTTTCTTTGATCAGAAGTTTTGGACCTCCTTACGTTGCAAATATCGTTGCTCTACAGGATTTTTGCTTGTGTTGAAAAAAAAAGTGTTTGATTCGTTGCAGGATGCTGGATTGGCACTGAAGCGAATCCCACGACAGATTCGGCAGAATGACTGGTATTTCCGCTGGGTTCGACGCGGAAATTGGGGAAGAAGTGTTGTTGGAGGGTAAATTTTCATTATTTCCGCGTTCCGGCGAAATTTTCGACGTCCGCTTGACGAGGGGCCATTTCCAGTTCGCTTCTCCGACCCGAACGGAAAGTGTTTCTCTGTCGGACGTCGTGGGATGTTTGTGCATGCGACGCAAAGGTTCGGCAAGAATTGCCGCCGATCCCGGTGCGTATTTCGGCGTCTATTGTTACCCTCTGTCACGGAAGAGAGTCGGACGAGGGTTTGTCCGCAAGAGGCTCGTGTTGGCGTTTCTGGTGAATTCGGCGGGGGTTTACGACGAGAACCTGCGGGTTGCGGATTCCTGGAGGAAGGTGATTCTGGCCGAGTTGTGGAAGCCTAGGCCAACCCTCCCGCGTGAGTAAAAAAGTTTCGCATGCGTAATTATTACAGTGTAAAGAATTATACATTTATTTCAACTGATTATCTCTCCTTGGGACAGTTCGTTCTTTCCTTTCACTTTGGTACCCGAAATCCCTTTGGTCGATGTTAGGCAGGTGAACATATTTTCCAGTGATTAATTTTGAAAATCTTGTTATACCAAATTATTCGATGTAAAAAACTTTTTGTGAAGTCCAAAAAAGTGTTTTGTTATATAATTTTACTATATGCAGTATTTAAATGTTGATTGGGTTTTGTGCATGAAATGCTGCTTCAACTTGAGTATTTTATCCCCAATTTCATCAGGTAGCGGATTTTTATAATCATTCCCGTTGGTTTTTACAGGCTTACGTTCTGGTTATTTTGACGATGCCAGAATTAATGGGCGCTGATCGTGTGTATGTGTGAATTCAGCAGAGGTGGATTGCTTGCCGGACAAGAAGTTTCTGATCTTGGTGAACCCGGCGAGTGGACCGGGAAAAGCATTGGAGATATTTATGCAACGCGTCCGACCGGTTCTCGCAGAAGCTGCTGTTGGCTACGATCTCGTGGTGACTGAACGACGAAATCACGCCAGGGATTTAGTAGCTGATCCGTCGATTTCTCACAAGTATTCCGGCATTGTCATTGTATCCGGGGACGGATTAATCCACGAGGTTTGCATTGTTTTTTTTTCTTTCTTTAAAAACAAAAAAAAGGTATTTTTTCTTCATAGGTCTATAATGGACTATTTAGCCAGAAAGAATGGCAGAGTTCGTTGCAGTTTCCGGTTGGAGTCATTCCAGGGGGATCCGGTAACGCGCTCGCCAAGTGCATTTCGTACCATGCCAAGTTGGTCGAGGCGAACTCTTCGCATTTTCGCGCGAAATTCAGAGTGTGAAATTTTTGGAACAGAGAACCGTACGAAGAAAACCCTGCGTTGGTGTCTGCGCTGAATTTGGTTTGGCACACGATCGTGCCCATGGATTTGATGCTGGTTCAGACGAAGGGAAGAACGTACTGCTCGTTTCTGTCTGTCGGCCACGGACTTCTTGCCGACATCGACATTGAGAGCGAGAAGTTGCGTGTGTTGGGAGAAACTCGGTTCACTGTCTGGGCTGTGGCGAGGCTTGCGAGTGAGTCTACATTTTCTCATTTCAGTATTTATTTTGCCTGGGAAATGACCCGAGCTGCTTTCCAATGAAGTGGGAAACTTCGAAAGATAAGTTGTGTTATGATGCAGACTAATATTTTTCAATGGGAACTTATTTAGTTGATTCTCTAGCTTATCAAAAATCAGTAATAAGTCCCCTCCCCCTCAAAAAAGGTTTCTCAACTTCAATGTACAGAGAATAACTTCCGGAGAAAAGCACACCAAATTTGATCTTTTAGCATCAAAAGGGGTGTAGAACAAGTCTTACTGTACTCTGCACTGATGGGAAAAACTTCCGGAAAAGAAGCACGAAATTAGCCTTTTTCATTATGAATTCGAGTAAATTTATGAAGAAATTCATTTCTTATATTTGTACAAATTTAAAATAAATAGAAATATGTCCCCTCTTTTTTAGAAAAATTCGGAAAATGTCTGTATTTCGAGAAATTGTCCAGATGTCGAGGCATATTTTTCTTTTCTTGTGTCCGAAAGTCGAATCGCCCGTATGTCGAGGTCCCACTCTCAAATGAGTGAAAAATTTTCTTTTTATTCCAGATTTGCGAACGTATCGTTGCCGAGTGTCGTTCGAGCCGAGTCCGATGGAAAATGTGCCAGCAAATGACGTTTCCCGTGGGAAGATGACGACGATCGAACGCCAAGTGAGTGAATCCCCTCGCACTCCGGCGAGTGGAACCAGTGAAGTTAAGAGCGATGAATCCAGGAAATCGGGGTTGAAGCACAGTCAGAGTTACGGTGGTGAAGCGGAGAAGCCGAGTAGGTCTCGATTGTTATCGCGGGGCGTCGCTGGGGTCAGTTTTGAAGAAGCTGATGAAGTATTGCGAGATGCGAGTGTTTCAGCGTGTGACACGGAATTGAAAGAAGTTGGGGCAGGTGACACTGCGGATCCCGTCGAGGTGGATGAACCCGGTAGACTCAAGATTCCGGGCTTGGATGAACCGGTTCCTGATCATTGGCACGTCATTGAAGGTCAGTCTTGAATTTTAGCAGAAATGTTGTATAGAAATTAATTGAACGATATCGATATTTTCAGGCAATTAATTTTACTCGTTATATGCGATTGTCCATTATATTCAACTTATGTATCATTTGTATGAGGGGTTAACAAAAGTTCTCGGGATCGAAATTAAAATGGCGTGTGAATAAGCTGAAAAATAATTATTGTTCAGAAAAAAATGTATTTGGCACCCGAAAAAATAAGTCAGCCGTCGTTGACGTATTTTTAACTTTTCTTTTGCAGAAGTCACCTCTCAGATTTTTTTGCTTTTCACTGATGAAGCGCCCATCGCAGATTTTTCTATGTAGCCCAGGTTCTCCTTCAGAATTCTTAAAATCGACAAGGGTTGCTTCCTATGTAATTCTGCCATTTTCAGTAAGAGCCGCCGCATTCTCATACCGAGTGGCGGCTGTTCAACGAAATTGTCGGAATTAGAGCATTATTGGCGGCAACCCTTGGAATAGATGCCATTTCCATAGCAGGAATTTGGAAGGAAAACCTTGGCTCTGGTATGTGTTGCCCACGCATACAATGGAATGTCTTACTTGAGATGATGTACACATTTTTCCAACGTTTTTTTCAGACGAAATGGTCGTTGTTTACGCCGTCATACAGTCGCACATAAACTCTGACGGAATGCTCGCACCGAAGGCGACTCTCAGCGATGGAAACATTTGGCTAATGTTCATTCAAGCTGGAATTCCGAAAGCTCAATTGCTCAAGGTGCGATATGAAAATTTGAATACGTACATTTTTTGTTCGCTCATTTTTTTCATCTGATAGCCGGCATTAAAGAAAACGCCAGATTTTAGAACCAAAATCAAATTTTGAGCTAATTTTCGTAACCTGACCGCGGTTGCAGTGTATTTAAACCCGCTACGTAGTGGTGAATTGTTCTGGAAGACGATCTAACTTTATCTTGCAATACCTTAAAACACATTTATTTTGACTAAACGCTTCGAATCTCTCTATTTTTATGAACGTTTTTTGATATGATAAATTGATGATTCGTTTTTGTTCATTTTTAAATTTGGGTTGATAGGTGCTGGTGTCCCTTTCGGACGGAAGCTACTTGAAATGCCCTCACGTCACTCAGATCCCTGTGAAAGCTTTTCGCATCGAGCCGTCGACATCAAGCGGTTATATGACAGTTGATGGAGAAAGAATTCCGGTCGGACCCATTCAAGCGGAAGTCATGCCTTCTGCCGCGCGCGTTATTTCCAGGTGAACCAAGCGTTTCTTGTGATCGTGACCTGTGTTCGTTGCTGAATGAAAAGTACTCATTTCCGGCTGTTACAGCATTCAAAAAAAAACTTTCATTAGCGCGAGGAATAAGGTTGAATCTATACAGCGTGATCACCTAGAATTGTTCCTTTTCAAGTGTTAACGAGAAAAAAACAATGATTGAGGGAAACTTCGCTCGAAAAATCTGACGTTTTGTTTAGAAGTGTGATCTTCTACAGTTTCTCGGGCAGTTTTGTGATATTGGCAGCTATTTCAAAACGCGTTGTATTCCTAGGTGGCATGGGAAGCAGACTGGAGGAGCATAATTGTGCATGCGAATCGAATGTGCTACTGTACTTTATCTTGGTGGTCAGTGATGGATGTACAGTACAGTACCATATGTCTTCCGTGATGTGATGGTTCTCTCTTCGGTATCCGCCAGTTCGCTTTTTTCGGGGTGGTGCGGGTATTTTTGCATTGCTCTTTTATTGATACAATCATATATGGAACGAAATGCACTGGGATCAAAACGGGAATGTGTCCGTGTTTGTCTACTGTAATTTAATGCTTGTTTACTGAACTTTTTTCAGACTTTTCTACGAAGTCCACTTCATGAAGCCATTCACGTTCTTTGTTGGTTCCAGGATGCTCTCTCAAGATGTCTGCCGTATTCTCCGTCGGAATAGGAATTTGTTCGTTCGCCTCGTCGATTCTTACATCGTTTATTTCTGTCAAATTGCCGATGCATAATTAAATGTCCCCTGTCGTTTGCAGAATAAAGTGTGATGGCAAAAATGGATGAATCCAAGAAAAAGGCAAAACCGAAAGTGCTTACCAAAAGTCGCGCTCGTACCAAAATTCCCCGTCGAAACAGATCAGGAAATGGACCAAAAATAGAGGTATGTATAGAAAAAATTAGTTATCCCAAATTTTCACTAACAATTCGCTGGGAATTGTACAGGATTCTGAAGAAGATGTCGAAATGGACCAAGAAGTTCCGTCGGAAGAGCCTGAAGTGTCAGCTTCGCCGTCTCCGGACGCTACGAATGAGGGAAAAGGTGCGGCTCTTTTTTTTTTTTTCATGCAGTGCACGAAATTTTCTTATGAACACTTTATTTTTACAGAAGTTCTAGTTCCTGTTGTTCCCGATTTGTCGTCAGTTGACATGGAAAAAGACATCATGGACATCGAAGCTCCGAGATTCACGACGCTTCATCGCCCTTCATCAGAAGCGTTGCAGTCATTAGCGTGGGGCATGAAAGCTGAGCTGATCGGAGGAAAGGTTTCGAGTCCTATGATCCATTGCTGTTCGCAATGTAACAAACCAATCCTGATCTATGGGCGAATGGTAAGTTGTCTTCGTCTAATGATGGTGTGCATTATCAAAATTTTCATTATATTTTCTTCAAAAACCCAGATTCCATGCAAACACGTGTTCTGCGTTCCGTGCGCGCTGAAGGAGAAGGATCGTTGTAAGCACTGTCGTGCGGAGGCTGAGAGAGTGGACAATGTGCGTCTGGGCTTCGTGTTCATGTGCACGGAAGGCGGCACTCGTTATGGTACGAACGGGTGTCGCCGGACGTATATGTCGCAGCGAGACCTACAAGCCCATATGAATCATCGTCACGCCGGGCCGTCTTCGTCGAAACCGTCCTCAGCTTTGGACTCTCACGTGAGTTCTCACGGAGTTCTCAAGGGCCCCGTTTCCCCGGCGTCCACTATCGGCGGCGCGAAGAAGATCTTGTCTCCTACTGCCAGCAGCTCGAGGCCGCACAATGGTTCTCTGCCCTTGTGTGGCATTCCCATCAGGACAGTGAGGTATGAGGAAGTGATGAAAGTTTTTTGTTCTTTACTCAGGATGATCAAATATTTGTTGCCATTTGTTTAGTGCCCCTCGTGTGTCACCGGGAATGCAAGTGAATTCTCGAAACCCGGACGGCGTGAGTTCTTCGTTGGACCGAATCCATCGGGCACCTCCGCCGCAGTTATCGCCGATATCAGTGGTGGCTTCCTCGCGCTCTGCGGGTTTGGGTGGCATTCCTGTTCAGGACGCCGTGAGCAGTTCGGACGCACCGCTTTCGACTTATTCCCGACCGCCACCGCCGATCGATGTGGCCTACTACGCCATGACGGCGCCGCCGCCTCTGCCGGACGTGTCTTACGGCAATCTCAGTGTTCCGCCGCCGAACTTTATTCACTCGTGGTCCCGTCCCTCATCGTCGCGTTCCGAGCATCCTTCATATTTTCCTTGAGAATCTTAACTTGTCTTGGATGAACATCGGAGATGCAGTAATTATTCCCCTTTCTTTCTCTCGTGCGAGATATAAGTTATATTTGTTGATCAAAAGTTGCTAAAAAAAAAACGTGGCTCACGTATTATTCATCATTCTGTTTGAGGCTTAGATTGCTTTGAGTTCTATGAAATGTTCTGGATTGATCCTGGCAGAAATTCCATGTGTGCCACGCGAGATTTGAATGGATGCATCACCTTTAAAGGTATTCTGCTGAAGAATACACGAATTATATATGAGATGTACCTCGAGTCAGTGATATTGCTTAACTGGATTGTCAGAGCTCATGTACGTGTTGTTGAGAAGAACATGTTGTTATCGAGTCGATGCATTGCCGTGTCCTTGATTTTTGAGCCTCAATTTTGTTGATTCAACTATTTCTGAAGGTTTTTTTCCTTCTTTCTTTGTAGGGATGGAAGTGTTGCGAACTCAGAACGTGTTCGTGAAGAAAACTCGTGGTGGGTCGATCCAAAAAGTAGTTCGTGAACATTACTTACGGGACGATTTGTGGTGCGGTTCGCAGTTGTGTCGCGAATGTCGGCACGATGTTCCGGTACTCGAGAAAATACCGGAATCCATCTCATCGGTTTGCACAAATCCGCATTACTTGATTCCCGATCACTTCTTCGTATTGGAACAGGTTGGTTTTTTAAAATTCAAAATGTTGACCGAACTTCGATTTCTGGTGGGTGTGGATTTATAACTAACGAAAGTGCCGTAGGCACCATGTATTTTAGACGCTATTGGCTGGAAAGATCTTCCTTTTTTCCATTGTTCTTAAACTAATGAAAAAAGGTTGCACGTGAATGAAAGTCACGGTTGAATCAAAAAACCGACAGAAGCTTCTGCACGGGTTGAATTTGAATCCTGTAAAAGTCCTTTTTTTCAAGTTACAATCCAATATATCCTCACATGAAACCTTTCTAATTTCATGCTGCGCAAAAGTTGCAGAGAAAAGAAAAAATGTTTTTCTTGTGCTGAAGAAGTTTATGCCAGCAATAATTGTTTTTCGTGAAATCATATTCCGTTTCAATTCCCGTTACAAGAACTTATGTTGGACCCCTCGTAAAAGTTGCAGAAATAATTGCTGTATTATTCTACTGTAAATTTTCAGTTGTATGTTAGTACAGTATTTTTTAATGTCTTGTTGATGCTGCAGACTAGTAAGCAGCAATGAAAACATGTTGAATGAGATAATGTAGCCGCGATTCGTTCGAATGGGTGCATTTTTTTGAAGAAGACAAAAGCCTAGCGGTTTGCGTACGAATATCACATCAATTCTTGAACATGCTTGTTTCTGTCGTAATCAAAAATAAATGCGTCAAATTGTCATTAACAGGGTAATTTTCGCTATCTATAATCTCAGATCGACGTGTTGGAGGCGGAGTCAATCCGGAATTGTATCATTCTGTCGACTGTCCTTCATGAGGTTAAACGGAAAAGCGGACCAACCTACAAACGCTTAAGAGACTTGATCTCCAATCCTCAAAAGCGGTTTTATGTCTTCGTCAACGAACATCACTGGCAAGTTATTCATACATTTTATGCTTCAACGATGAAAGGAATGACCTGGTGATTTTTCTGTCCAGGGAAACGCACGTAAAACGCAAACTCGACGAATCTGAAGATGAGCGGAATTTAAGGGCGATGCAGTACGTTTGTCGTTGGTACGAAAACCATTTGAATACCGGAGAGGTGTTGAAATCTGGTCAGCCATCGTTGAAAGTTGTTTTGATTTCGGGTTCTGAAGCTGCTCGTGATTCCGCGCGGAACTACGGAGTTTCCTCCTTCACTGGTGAGTTTAGTTGACCGGAGATTTTTTTTTTTCGAACATTTTTGAATGACTGCATTTTATTCTCCGCGCAGTGAAAGAGTACGTTGAAGCAGCTGCGGACAAATTTCCGGAGCTGTGCGATAAAGTTTCCCAGACAAGCAAATCGTACATCAGTGATCAGAGGTCGATATTCCCACCGCATTTGACTCCATTGCAAATCAAGGAAAAACTCAAGAGAGGGGAAATCAAGCAAGGCAGTTTTAACGCATCTCGAGAAAATTATCTCGAGGGGTTCGTGAACGTGGAGGGCATTGAAAAACCCGTCAGTTGTTTTTATATGGTTAAATACATTGCTAGAAGTAGTTTGGTAACTTTTGTAATTTCTCTTTCATAGATTTTGATCCAAGGAATGTCCCATTTAAACCGCGTGATGCACGATGACGTCGTAGTTGTTGAGATTCTCCCCGAGGACAAGTGGGTGGGACAGTCTGGTGTCGTGCTGGACGATCCAGAGGAGGACAAAGGTTAGCAAGATATATTCCCTTTCTCGCATTGAGGTCTCAAGGTCTGATGCGATTTTTTCCTTCGTTTCTTTCTCCAAAAGGGGACGCTGTCGACGATGCTGAAGTTGCTCTTCCGGAAAAATCCGCTGATGTTCAACCAACGGGGAAGATAGTGGGAATCATTCGGCGGAAATGGCGGCAGTATTGCGGAATCCTCCAGCCATCAGCCATAAAAGAGGTGCGTTATTTCAAAGAATCGAAATTCTTCGTTATGTATTGGCCGCCTGAGGCAGCAATTTTGGAGGGAAGGGTGTTCGGAACGCAAATTTTCATTTCGGGAAAATTTGGCCTTTTATCAGACGAAACCATCAGAATTTATAGCTGAATATTTCAAAGGTGTTGAGAATTATTTTCATTCTTAGCATTTTTGATTCGTATTCTTAACCAACGAAAAAGTGCTGATTTTGAGGGCTTGTGTGTGAAAATGTGCATGTGATCAGCATAAAACCATAATTTCAAATTGAGCCTCATTTCAGCAGAAAAAGTGCGTGAATACGGTATCCTCATAATTGAAATTATTTCTATATTGAATCGGAGCCTTGACGTGATTTCCTGCATCATCCAAGTTTGACCAGGTGAAATAATTGGTTTTCATTTTCTTCCCATTTTTACAGCATACGAAGCACCTCTTCATTCCGGCGGAGAAAAGGATTCCGAAAATTCGAATCGAAACGAGACAGGCGGAGAAATTAGCGACGAATCGAATCGTTGTTCAGATGGACGAATGGCCGCGACATTCGCGCTATCCGCTGGTACTTCCGTCTTGTCCGCGGCAAACTTTGGACTTGGATTGAAGTTGTGTTTTAACCGTTAGGGTCATTACGTGAGAAGTTTGGGGAAAATTGGTGATAAAGCGACGGAGAACGAAGTTCTACTTCTGGAACACGATGTGCCCCACTCGAAATTCTCCGAAAACGTGCTGAAGTGTTTGCCGAAGTTGCCTTGGGGAATTGAAGACTCCGTGAGTACTTTCTTTTTTTTCGGGAGCGAAAAACGATAAAAGCGACGACTGTCAGTAAACTAAATTTCTTTAATGCTGCTTTATTTTGTAAAGTTGGTAGTTATCGTGTTGATTGATCCAACATCTAGGGTTTTTTTCTCTCTCTCTATGAACGCGTTGATCCAAATGTGGGTTAGGTTTGGGAAGTGTAACAATTATTCGACGTCTGGGGACATGGAGGAGTCGAAGAGGGCGTCGATGATATCCTGAGTCTCTTCTCGCGGAGTCGTGACTCGCAGTACTGTTTCGCCGTCGGTGTCCGTCTCTTGGACGACGACGATTTCCAAATTGCTCTGAGACTCCGTCGTCGTGTAGTCGAGTATATCCGCGTCGCTCAAAATTTCAGCCTCTTCGAACAGTGTCCGACAGTTGGGGCGTCCATCGTCTGCGAAACGATTTTGAAAATTTAAGAAGTAAACGTCCCTTCGAATCTCTCACCCATTAGGATCTCGAAACTAAGTGGCAAGTCGTTACCGCCTTGGAGAAGATACAGTAGTTGATTCTCAACATTTTATTGAGACGGGGATTTTTATTAATGATTAATCTCTCCCATTAAATGAAAGTAACTTACCGTCGTAGTCGACGAGCTCGAAAGCGTCGAAATGATTGGCCTCGTCGCGGGTAGGAGTGCATTTTTCGATCGTAAGGACGGCGCTGGGCTCTTTGCTGCACGTTTCGACGGTGGTGGAGCTGGATCCGACGGCCTGAATGGTCATCGGGGACCATGGCCTGACGACGGGACGCCGTTTCTCGTCGTCAGCCGTATCCTTGATTTCCAACACCACCCTGTGGTATCCGTGGGCATCAATCGTGCCTGCTGGCGGAGAGGGCGCTGGAATCTGAATTAGAAAATGAATCAAGAAACATAATACAGTAGTAAATTGCTAAATAACCGACTAAATGTCAATCGACGTGTTTTTTCTTTATTTAAAAAATGAGGTGTTCTCACTTCGAAGTGACGTTCAATATTGTTTTCCGTGTCGCCTGAATCATTTATGCTTCATCAAGAAAAAAGCATTCAACTACGAATTGGCTTTATATGGTCTTTCTAGATTCAAGCGACCTCTATGCATCATCAGAGAATTGTCGATTTCGAGACTTCAGTTAGTTAATAGAAGGAATGAACAATTGATATTTTCACTCCCGACTTTAAGACCCCTTTCCTTTCCCATCATAAAAATGTCAGTCTGAAAAATGTTAATAATCATGAATTTTGTTACAGGGAAGCTTTTATCAGCACCCTAGGTCCTAGGAGTCAGTTTTGACAAGGTTTTACTGTACAGTATTTCAATTCACCTAGTGTTGATTAAATTTGCATGTGCAATACAGTACTGTACTTCTAAAATTTGCCTCGTTCTGAGCGAGATAATCTTTAAATGTATCGCATTAGAAGGATTTAAAAAAGAAAAGCCTCAATTGACCGGAAGGATTGCGTAGTTTAGATGAAACCCCGAAATGGTGTTACCGTTGCGGAAAGTGTAGGCGGTTTAAGGGGTCCGAAGGGTCTTGGAATGGCCGGCCGATTAATCCGCCCCAGCATGGACGGCGGGGGAGCGAGAAACGGAAACGGGGGTGCCGTCGGTCTGGAGATGGGCTGCTGCTGGTGTTGCAGGGTCGGTGTCGACGTGGAGAACTGAATCAGCGGAATATTGGTTCCCCCGCCAGATGGACGATGGTGCGGTGACGAGATGGACGAGAATCCAGATGCTGTTTGAAAAGTGGAAGGGAATTCAGTACCCAGCGTGGGGGAGGGAGGTAATGCAATGCAAGGAATTATTTTTTCATTGTAGAGGTTTTAGAAAAAGAAAAAAAGGGAGAGATTAGGAGAAAACAAAAGAAGAAGGAGAAAGCCCGAAAACGTGAACATCGGTATTTTGCTCAATATGCCACAATTTGTTTTTCTCGTTTTTAAATGACAACAAATCGTATCGTGAGATTTCTAGAGTAGTTCTGACTGTGGAGAAAAAATTCTGATGTAGTCCTTGAATTTTCAAGCTTGTGAGATTCTTTTCGGATTGAAAGAAAATTTTCAATTTACCGCGTAAGTGAAAACTTACCAAGTACAGCCTATTATCAAAAATGTAAAAAATATAATGGTCAAAACAAGGAAAACAAATTTTGGCCTGCAAATTTCTTAGCCCATTCTGACATGGGTGGATAATTCTGGCCGTAACTGGAAAATTTTAATTTGTCAGCATGCAGTAGTGAATTTAAAAAAAAATTTAAATACTGAAAAGTATTCCAGAACCTTGAAACATTATGGGATATGCAGTATCAAAATTGACTTTTACTGTCATACCTAGGCCCGAACCAAGGATCGCGCCCGATTGGGACAAACCTCGTATGAGCCCCACGTCAAAAAGCCAGTTTGTGAAGTCCCAGTCGAGAAATCCATTCGTCAAAATTTTCAGGAAAGAGTGAAAAATCATGAAATACCATGTCAATGTGAAAATGTTTTAAAATAATAATTAAACTTTAAGTAGGCCTAGACTCAGTCTGTTGGACAGGAATGTTTCTAGTGCATAATGTAATGAATTATGAAAAGTGGAGTGATGAACCCGAAATATTATTCGAAAGAAAAAAAAAATCTTATTATAGGAAGTCTCAAGAAAGCATACTGTAGTTGTGAGCAACGTTTCTTTGGCTTCCTGGTCGTTTATTTAAAGGTAAGCGGTGAAAAAGCGAGATTCAGTTACCAAAAAGAGTCTCCGTTGAAGATGGCGTTTGTGGTTCGATGGTGGTGGTGCTGAAAGTGGCGGGTGTTGACTTGAGGGCCTTGATATCGGTCGTAACTTCCGGGTTGTTTGAACAGAGTCTCTTGATGGCCTGATTTTCATTTGTTTCCATCGCTGCCAGTTCAGTTTGGGCGAGTTCCACTGCTAGACTAAGGCCTTCCATTTTTTTCTGATTGAATGGCAATTATGAATTAAGCGGGGGGGATCCATTTCATTACTACAGTAATAGATTGTTGCAAAAAATACCGCTGTGACAACTTTTTCTGTGTAACCAATTTTTTTCAAGTGCCAGCAGACAGCCCATGGAGTACATGTTGAAACAATGACGTTATAACAAGCTTCCCAATTCCAGTATAACAAAATTTTTCTAGGAATGGTTAATATACTGTCGAGAGGTACTTGAGGTAGAAATTTCCTAACAAGGCTGGCACAGTCTGAAATTTCCAATCCTATATGTGACTGGTTATTATAGCAAGGATGGAAGGGGAAATCAATGAAAAACATGCCTAACATGATTGGGATATTTTCACGTCCTCCCAGAATGACGAGTTTGCTGCAACTTACGGAATGTGTGATTGAATCTCATTTTTTTCCAGAAGATCATAAATCTGAGAATTCCAGAGAAAAAAAAAATATCGAATCGATCGTAGCATGTCTTCCGTGAACATTTTTCCCCGGTCAATATTTCGGAAATCTTATGAAAATTATTCGGCATAACAAACTTTTCCTGAATTCCCAAAAGGTTTTTGGTGGTGAGATTTTACTCTAATCGTTACTACTGTACTAACTTTGAGTTTCTCCAGCATTTCTTGCAGTTGCGCTTTTGTGTCCACGGATTTGATCTCTTGCCAAATCTGGAGGCTGTCTTGATCAATGCATTTCAAGCGTTCTTCTGCCTTCTCGTGGTCTTTGGAGAACAGATTCGCGATTAAAAAAATCAATTTTTTTTTGTTTTTTCTTCTTTTCTTGGAATTGCATATCGAGAAAGACGAACCTTGTTTTGTGAGAATCCTGGCAGATTTCCGCAATCGCTTCATTTCCGCTTGAATTGCACGTTTGCGGACTCTTTTCGCATCCACGCCGTCAATCGCAGATCTCAGTTCCTTGTGCAATTGCTTGAATTCTTCAATGTCCTTGTGAATCCTGTCTGTGACGAATCTGAAATGCGAAGGATACGATTTCTCGAGAACTATTGCCATGATCTGAAAACACTCTTGTTGCCTTTTCTTCATTTTTTTAACATTAACACGTTTTTATTAACTCGCTTTCTTGTCCGTTTGTTTGTCCGGATCTACTTCTTCCCAACAATCTCCATGCGCACCACGTTTAAGGTAATTTTTTGCTTTTTGAAAACGTGGTTTTTTAGATTAATTTTTAATCTACTAAATTTTTGTTATTGGGCGGAACGAGTGAGTTTTAAGCAAAACAAAGGTGTTTTTTTTTCTTGATCATTCACACATGTAAAGGAATGGAATGGAATGCAATGGAAAATCAGACTTCGGCGCTTTCAGGTTTAAAAGATAAAAATAACGGAATTACGCTTCTTTTTTTTTCTCTCTGTGACAGTACTTGTAGTACATTACTTGCAAAGCGTGAAGAGATGATTTGTGTGTCGCACCTGTGGTAGACGCCGGCCTGCGAGAGCATTTGCCGCATGTCCTGCAAGTAGGTGTTGAGCGGCGTCGTGATGTCGAGGAACTGCTGCAGCTCCTGGCGCGTGTAGTCGACCTTGTGTCGGAAGGCGCCGATGGCGGCCAGCTGCGCCGGAGGCATGGCAATGAGTGGCCGTATGAGGACCTCTGAAGGAACGGCGGCGTCGAGTCCTCTGGCCTCGCCGGCACTGCTGTCGTTGTCGTCGTCGTGGTTGTTGTTATTGTTATTGGGCGGCAGGGTGGTTGTCGGTTTTGGGCACGGACGCGTTGTCGGGCGACTGCATGGCTGTGGCCTGCTGCGAGTTTATGCGTAAATCAATTTATTGGTCTGTCCCCTGTGAGGTTGTCTTCGAAGCGACCCTCTGCTTTAAACATCCGCATGTTGGATCTATTCTTTCTTTTTTTTCGAATAAACTTTAATGGGAACTTATTTACAGCACTGTAATTGGTGCTCCAGTTTACCGAAAATTAGGAATAATTTCCCCGAAAAATGGAATAAAATGTTTTCTCAACTTCAAGCAACAGGAAATAACTGTGCGGAAGAGAACCCATACGAATCTGATGTTTTCTCATCAAAAGGAGCTCAAAAAGTAAAGAACCGAGAGCAAGTCTCCCTGTACTGTGCTCAATGATGGAAAGAATTCTCAAAACAGTAGCACACGATTAGCCTATTTACATTCGATATTGAATTTAAGTACAATTCTGATAAATTCGTTTTTGTGAATACGAAGTTGCTCAATTCGTTGAGGAGAAATCCAAATTTTGAAAAATTGTGTTTCCCTTTGTCTATAAATGTGGGAATATCTCGAGATATTGTCCAGATTTCAACAAGTGTCCCCAAGTCGAATCGTCCGTATGTTGGGGTCCGACGGTATAAAGAAGGGAATATGCAGTGCAGCATTCCGTTTCAAAGCCTGTGACGTCTAGAAGTCTCACAGACTAGAATCATCTTGTTATTCAAATTTTTATAGGTGTACAAGTTCAGATAAAAATTTCTACCGTATCCAGCAACTTTTTGAAAAGGTTGGTTTCTTTGAAAGTTATGTCATTCAATTTTTAAAAAAAAGAAAAAAAAGAGGCAGGAATAATTGCAAAGGAGTTGAATTGAACTTCTTTTGGCAGGGATTGACTGCTAATGTCAGTCTTCCTTGATTTATTTCGTGTTTTCCTCATTTCAGTTGGATGAAAAAACCCTTTTTTTCTGTTCACTGGAAAGGGATGTGAGGGGGAAACTCGTTCGACAACGTGGTCACTAGTCGATCCCAATGAAGTACTGTAGCTTCTTGGCAGCTTAATCGAGTGAAGAAAGACCTTTGAGTTTCATCTCACTTGAAGGAATTGCTCGTGAGCAGCCCTGTGTTTGGTAGTGTCAATGTACAGGCAATGAATGCTGACGTCTGCGGGATTGGGACTCGTGTGGGGCCGCTCTCCTGCTTCGCCGCCTCCGCCGCCGCCTCCTCTCGGTCTGCCGCCTTGTAACGGTGGAGTACAGTTCCCGGAACGGGTGTCTGAATTGCTACAGGAGATGAATCATACATTCAGTTTTTTTTTCCTCCAGTGAGCAATATAACCTGTTGTGATTGTTCCAATGCAGTTCAGTACACTACCTCCACCGAAATTTTTGGAGTATTTTCCTGAACCCTGTGGATTGGTGATTGTTTCCTGGGGCTTGAGACAAAGGTGGCGGAGCAGCGAAAGGTCGTGAATTTCCTAGTTGAGGACTTGCCCGAAGTGGCGTCGGTGCATCGATGGGCTGATTATTTCTCGCTGCAATTTATTCAAAATTATTGTTTGTACTGATTTTTTTTCTGGGCTCATAGGGTTCTGCCACCATGTTATTGTGGTTCTCTTGTACGAATTTCACTCTACGAAGAATTTTTCTGGTCCTTGAGTTTCGTTGAGAAAGAGAGAGACAGCCTCTATTTGTTTTAGGTTCCCATAGGCTATGGTTCTCTCCCAATGTTATGGGGGTTCTCACCAACAACAGCAAAATATTTCGGGTCTTTTGAATTTCGTTGGAGAGAGAGAGAGAGAGACCTCCTGCTTACCATAAAAAACATTTCCATTTCACTCGCAGATATTTTGAGAAACCTCTTGAGCGTGTACCATATGAAAAAAAAAATTGTAAAAATTTTCGGGGAATCCGACGAACCCGCGTGGTGAAATTTTGCTTGAGTTCCCGCAATGGAGTTCAGCGCAGCATGTTGGGCCTTTTCCGCAGGAGCCAGTTGTTGCCTGATTGCTCTGTATTTATTGGCTGCGACGTGGGAATCTCGACAATGTTGGTGTCCGGCATCAATGAGAGGAGTCCCTCTGTTGAAGGCGCGATTATTTCCCTGCTCATCGCTGGGCTGATGCATTTCTCTCTCACGTGGTGCCCTGTTGTGCCATCGGTGGGGGATTTTCGAGGGGGTTAACGGAATTACATGGGGGTGCAGGGGGGGACTAATATAGCTTTTTATCCACCGCGTTGACGAATCTCGCGTGTTCCCTTCCTGTCCCAATACAGCATAGAAATCCTGAGAAACCGATCAATTGATTCCAGTGTGATTGAAGGGGAAGTTGGGATTGTTGATGATCATGATTACGCACATCGCGGATTCTCCTACGGTTTTTATTTTTCTTGCACTGTGACGGGTTTTGACAAATAATCTCCTTTCGATCATGTAGATGTCGCCTCAATCCCGCTGTATTTTCCTAGACTTGCTTTTCGAAAGGTACGAGGGGTATGACAAAAGTTGTCGGTAAATAAATTGAAATGGCATAAGATTGAGTTTGAAAGAAGAAGACAGTTTTTTCTCAGAAAAAAAAAACAATCTTTGGCGCATTGAGAAAAATTCGGCCGTGTCTGACGCATTTTTTGTAATTTTTTTGTGCAGATGCTTCCGTGTAGCCCAAGTTCTTCGGAGTTTTTGAAATCGGGATTGCATTAATTGCAAGGGTTGTTGCCATCAACTTATTATTATTAGTATTACTAGTGAATGTGGCGGCTGTTGATGGAAATGGCGGAACTAACTTCGAAGACCTGTATGAGGCAACCCTTGCAATTAATGTCGTGTCCATTTCAAGAATTTTGAAGGAAACAGTAAACTGCACAAAAAAGCTGCGAGGGGTACTTTTGCACACAAAAATTAGAGGAAACATGTCAAACAAGGATGAATTTTTTTTCTATTGCCGAAGGATCCTTTTTTTCTGAACAAGAATTTTCTTTTCTCAGCTCAATCCTATGCCGTTTTATTTTCTATACGGAAAAGCACTTCTTAGACTCCTTCGTTTACGTTCAGTGTCGTCATTTCGTTCAGGCGACATCTGAATTTCATCGCAGTAATCGAGTGTTGAAAAATGATCGTACTCTCACTCATGGAATTGATGGTAACCGGTACAGGATTTCGTTTCAGGAATTGGCGAAAAGGCGAGATTTGCGGAGTCACACGATTTGCAGCGTGGATCCCCCGGGATGCACCGATATTGACGACGCTTTGCACTGTCGTGTCCTGGACAATGGCAACTTTGAAGTTGGCGTGCACATCGCGGACGTGTCGCACTTCATTCGCCCGAACACGGCCATCGACGAAGAAGCTGCAGTCCGGGGTACAACCGTGTACTTGGTGGACAAACGCATTGACATGGTTCCGGGTCAGTAAATTTTTGTTTGTTTTATTTTTACTTTTTAGTTTAATTTTAATCTGGTGTTGGGTTCAATTTTCGTGCAGGTTTATTGAGCTCAAACTTGTGCTCACTTCGTGGAAATGAAGAGCGCTACGCCTTCAGCGTCATCTGGGAAGTGACCCCTGAGGTGGAATTCGTGAGAACTGAAGCCTTCAAGAGCATAATTAAGTGAGTTGATGAATCCATTATTTTCCACTTGACAGAAAATTCTCACGGTTTGTGAGATTCTGATTGGTAGAACTGTGCCTGTTTCATTTTATGTATGTAGTTATACTGTATGTGTATAAATTTGAGCTTTCTTTTATTTCAGGTCGTCTGCTGCGTTGACGTACGAACAAGCCCAGCTGAAAATTGACGACCCGTCGTTGAAGGACGAATTGACCCTTGGGCTCAGAAGATTGAATATGTTGGCGAAAAGAATGAGAAAGAAGCGAGCTGAAGCTGGGTAGGTTATGTTGGTCCTTTGTATTGTAACCTTTAAACGCTCTATTCGAAATTTCTGCGAGATTTTCTGTATGAATTGTGAAGATATTTTCGCAAGCTCTGCTACTGGAATAATTATAAATGCAGTGCTCACGTGGGTCAGTGCTGTAAAATCTTGAAAAAGGAGGCTCTTAAGTTTTTTAAAGACGAAGTCCTGCTCATGCTGTATATTTTCTTTGATATCTTGGAACTTTTTTGAATCTGTGAGTTCTCAACGCCTGATTTTACCGACTTCTGAATCGTTTGTGTCAGTGCATTCCTGGCGCCTGAAATTTGCAATTCCTTATTACGTTTTGATTGTGTCACTCAGGATATTTTTTTTACCAAGAATAATTTTTTTGAATTCGTTGAAGCAGGCGAAACGGGTATGACATTCCTGAAATCCAAGTTTGGTGGTGTTTGAAAGTGCAAATTATGTAGTTATCTCATAATGCGATGATTCAATTTTTCAAGTGCCTTGGTTCTGGCATCGTCGGAGATTCGGTTCTCAGTGGACAGTGAAACCCACGATCCCGTGGAAGTGCAGGTGAAGAAGATGCTGGAAACCAACTCGATGGTGGAGGAATGGATGTTGAAGGCGAACATGACAGTGGCGGCCATGATTTATGAGACGTTTCCCGAGTGCGCCTGTCTCCGACGTCACCCCGCACCGCCAGTGTCGAGTTTTGAGCCTGTCGTGAAAGCCACGAATCCCAGGGGCTTCAAGATTGACGTTTCGAGCAACAAAAATCTTGCCTGCAGTCTTGACAAGGCAGTTGTTAATGAGAATCCGTATTATAACACCATGCTGCGGATTTTGACGACCAGGTCAGTGCGTGTATGAGCTGATGGTAAAAATGCCATTCAGTACTGTTACAAATTACCAAATTATGTCCCGTATAACAAACTTTTTCTCAAGTGACGGCAGAAAGCCCATGAAGTACATATCGAAACAAGCTTAATACGGGTTAACAAACTTATCTACAGTATTACAGTTAAACAAACCTTTTCGAGGACATGTTTAATGGATTCTCGTGGTAGAAAATTTATCGTAACGATATTTTACCGTGTACGAAAACCGTTCATGTTGAAAGCTCTAAGAATGTATCTTGAAGGGGGTTGTAAATGCATCAATGATTCAAATGGGAGATTTTTTGGACCAATTCGTGTACCAACCGTGAGTTAGCGAATCCTAGACTCAAATCCCGCGTTCATTTATTTTGTTGTTTAGTCAAGCTTTCAACGAAGAAAGGGCTTTTCTGTGTGCTTTGGACGTTGCTTCAAATTTGAATAAATAACGATGGACAAAAAAAATGGGTTGAATGAGTCTCTTTGCGCAGGTGCATGATGCAAGCGGTCTATTTTGCGTCCGGAACTATTGATTACGAAGAATTTTATCATTATGGTTTGGCTGCGCCGATCTACACTCACTTCACCTCGCCAATTCGGAGATATGCGGATATAATCGTGCATCGATTGCTGGCCGTGACGATCGGTGCGGATTCCACTTATCCTGGTCTGACTGACAAAAATCGGACCCAGGTCATCTGTAATAACATCAATTATCGACACAAAATGGCCCAATATGCTGGCCGCGCATCAGTGAATTTGCACACTAGGGTGAGTGTTTAATTTTATTTTATGGGAAAAGTAGAAAAGCGCGTCACCTAGATGTCTTGAATAAGGCTGATACTGAATAATCGTAATTCTACTGATGGGAAAATGTTCTAGTAAAATAAGAGTTTTTTTTTTCTTATGTTTTAAATTTTAAAAACGTAAAAACAATTGGACATTGATAGGATTAAGGGCGACATCTTCAAGGTGTGGGAAACTGAGCTTGAAGAAGATCATCTTGTGTATTTTTGTATATTTGTGTATCGATGCCTGAAAACAGGGGAAGTTTCTTTCCCTTAATTGATTTGGTCAAGGAGGGCTTGTTTCATCGTCCTACATGAGAAATGGAGTCAAATTCATGATAGAGATTCAATGCTGGACCATGCTGTATGGAAAATCAAGCAGATGTAGAATGTTGGCGACATCTGTGCTTTAGTCGAAGGAATAACTGAGCCGTGGTCGTCGACAGTTGCAGCGGAAATTCCTTTAAAATATGGCCTTCCATTCCTGAATATGACTTAATTTATCTTCTCCTTTTTACCTGCAGATGTTCTTCAAGGGAAGAGTTTCGGAGGAGGACGGATACGTGTTGCAAATCAGGAAGAATGCGTTGCAAGTTCTTGTGCCGAAATACGGGCTTGAGGCAACATTGTTTCTGGAAGGGAAGCAAATCGATCCCAAGATAATCAAATTTGTCTATGATGAATCCGTGAGTCTTTTGCTTTGCCGAATTGAGGACCTTTCTTTTGAGTTGTGAATGTCGTTGGTTTTGTCACAGGAACCAAGCCAAACCTGCGGGTCTGTGAAATTCTCAACCTTCGATAAGGTCGTCGTACAAATCTCTATAGACGAGTCAAATGTGCAAAGGGAGAAATTGGTCCTCCGCCTCGTGCACCCAAAGGTTAGTCGATGAAATCGCATGAAGTATTTGAAGATTCTCAAACTCTAGACCTGTTCCGTTTCTCCAGGTTCCTGGCTTCAGCGTGGATCCACTGCCACAGAAGCCGAAGTGATCTTTTGTCACGTATCGCTGAATAAGAATTTTCATTCGAGAAGATCACGATTTTTCAGCCGAAATGAATTGTTTACTTTGGCTCGTGACGAAACCCTGTCTGAGATTTGCTTGTTTTTTTTTTTACCCCATGCACATTTTCTGATGATTCTTCGAGCGAAACTTAATATCAATGGACTGGATTTTTGCAGGATGTTCACGCGTGTGTTGTGAATTCCTAACAATATTAATACTTCTTTTTTTGTGCCTGTGTGAGTGAAATATCTTGGTTTTCCCGAGGGAACCATTTGCACATCTTCGTTATTAATGTAAAATTCCTGCGAAATGATGGAAGACGGCCGTGGGGATTCGGCTGCGGTAGAATTGGAGGCCTTGTGTCAAAAGTTCCTGTGTCACCATCCCCTCACTGATGTGTCCTTTGCCAAACTGTTCGAGAATGCGACCAGCGATCAGCCGGAGCTCCAGATCCGTTTATTATCATGTACCCTGAAGCACCCCATAGCGGAACGATACCCGTTGCCACGAGCGTATCGCCGGGACTTTCTCAAGTCCGCTATCCATGAAATGGAAGGGCGTCACGTTGAGGTCCTGCCGGAGATTTACGAGTTGTATCTGAGCCTCTGTTCGTACGACCCGGATGAAGATTTCTCACACAAGTCCTACAAGTTGTCTGTTGGAGATCAGTGTGATTGGGTGAGCTGGATTCTTGTAAAGAGTGTTTTTTATGATTTTGGCGTGAAACGAGCTTTTTTTTGGAATGTTGTTTTTCATCCTGTTTATTTGCTTTCTTCTCGCTAAGTCAAACTTTCTAAAAAAAATTAGTTCATTCAGGGGCTTTATTATTTAAATTATTAATTCAGCGTCTTACACATTTTTACTTGCATTTTAATGTGGGTGTTAACCATTAAATTTTGCCTCATTCGCAGAAAATTTTCAACTTTCCAATCACGTTGAAAAAATCGTTGGCAGTTACTAGAGAAATGCTATGTTCCAAAGCGGATAATTTTCATTTTTCCCCTGGAAGTCCGAGAAAGAATTAAAGAATAAAAACTAGATAACTACAGAAGTTTCCCAGGAAATTCCAGATTGTGTGTGCTTTCACTCTTAATTTTTTTTTCTGTGTAGCTTTGATGTTGCTAAACAAAAGAATGTGGAAAGGAATGAAAATCCTTTTTTTTTCAATGATGAGCTGCCTGGAATAATTCTTGACGAAGACCAGCAAACATTGTGGAGAGTTATTTGTTTGAAAGGAAATCAACAAGTTGTCTGATTTCCTTTTTTATTTTTGCGCAGGTTCACATCAAAGAATCCCGGTCAATCGCCTCAGATGGGTCGACGGGTGTGCATTCTTGGCCCGCGGGTGTGGCCCTCGCCAACTGGTGTCTGCAGAACACGGCCTTGCTGGATGGGAAAATCGTTCTTGAACTCGGTTCCGGGGTTGGATTGACTGGTCTAATTGCCGTGAAGGCTTGCAACTGCAGAACATACGTGTTTTCGGATTACCACCCTCAGGTGGGTTCCAGGATTCAACCCAGTGAACCGGAGTCTGTCAAGTTTTTATTTATTTTTTATTCTTTTTTTTCATCATCTGAATTCTGAAAGTAGGGACCGTGTTGTGAAGTTTTTACTGGTTGAAAAATCTTTTTTTTTTTAGTGAAAATGAATCCAGAAATGCCTCACTAATTTTTAAAATTACAAATACCTCGTATTTCTTGGCAACATTTTTTCTGTGCTCTTAAATCGTCATCCAATAGAATAAAATTGCATCTGCGAACTTATTTCTCATTTCAACGATTTAATGCGAGATTCCTCGATTATTCACAACTTGATCTTGTGGAATGCATTTACCGACAGTTAGGTGAAAGTTTTGTTCGTTTATTTAGGTGTTCAAGAAGATTCGCGAGAACCTGGTGATGAACAACATAGTGTGCCTTGTGGACAAGAATGACGAGAACGGGGCTTCGGAAGAGAGCGACGAGGACGGACGTGGGGCGTCTCCGGCGCCCATGAAGGACATTCGTGTGTTGCGGCTGGACTGGCGCTACAAGGGCGTGATGCCGTCGAATCTAGACTTCGTCATCGGCTCCGACCTGATCTTTGAGCCAGATCTAATTAATCCCTTGGTGGACACGATCGATCGTTTGCTCCAGGTTTGCGGACCCCAGTGCACTGCTCTCATAGCTGTGACGGAGCGGAACCCGGAAACCGTCGCGAAATTCGAGTCGGAAGTGGACGGGCGACAGTTGGTGCGATCCGTGGTGGAATACGACTCTCATCAGCCGCTTTTGTGGGCCGCCAAACACGAGACTGTGAAGTTGTATTCCATCAAACGGCGCTGAGGACGAGGTGAAACCGGTTTCCCCCTTTTTAAATTTATTTTATTTTAATTTTTTTTTCGAGAGAGAGAAATGAATGAAGGATGCTTCAGAGATGGAAGTTTAATCGTTCGCGATTATCCTTAATTTCTTCAGGTTGCTCAGGGATGTACACCTTATTCTTTTTTCTTTCTCTGCTCGCGTCTCGGTGCCTTACTGTCCATACAACGGAACTCTTGATGCTGAGGTCTGGAAGAAATCGATCAAAAAGCGACTTGAGTGCAATGGCGGGTTCAAAAGTTTTGTCGATGGAGTTTATGTTGGAGTATTTTAAAGACGCGTTTATTCGCATTACTTCATCAGTCAACTCTCTGTCAACACAGGTTCAATTTTTCTAATTTTTTCTTTATCTTACGAATGCCTTGTGTGCCTAATGATTAAAAACGCTATGGGGTCAAAGCCAAGACTCTGTGGAAGCATTCATTTCCGTAAACTGCATAATCAGTTTTCAAGGATCTTCACTTGCAGACTTGGAACGGCCTACTTCTTGCTCATTAAGTGATGTTCCAAGGAAGACTTCAGTATTCCGCATTACTCATGCCATATATTTTAAAGATGTGGACAATTATTTGTTTCATGGGCATGAGATGGAGCATAATTTTTCGGAAGATTTTCGATGACACTAGAAATTGCGACTGTGCCAACAGTTGATCGCTGGTTTTTGATGTTTGCGCAGAGAGTTCAAATGACACTTTTTTTCTTCTCTCTGGTTAGAAATTAGTACTGTACATGCATAGAGGAAAGATTCATCATCGAAACCCTGATGATTACATCCATTGGCGAAACTTTTGGACAGACCAAAGTACCTGTTCTCTCTTAATTTTCTTTTTGCGTCTGCGTTTTTTTTTTCTGCGAAAACTGTTGTCTCTTTGTCACCTGATCTCGAGCATGTTTTGTTCGATGAAGTGATTCGCGGGCGGCGTCTTGTTCGTTCTCTCGGACGTGTCAAGTACAGGAAGATGATTTATGACTCTTCGGGTTTCTTTAATCATTTTTTGTGAGGTTTGGCGTATATTTGCTCAGCTGCTTTTGTGTGTTTCAATAGGAAGGAAAAATGATGAAAGTGTTGCGAATAGTTGAGCCTCTGTCGCGGTCACTGGCACGATCAGCGTCGAGTGCGACAGGGTCAAAGACGCATTTTGGGTTTCAGAACGTCACGGAGGAGGAAAAGGCGGAAAAGGGTGAGCTGTGGATCAAAGCTGGTCTGGGACAGATGAGAGATTGTGCCGAAATAAAAATGAAGGAAATTTCACGTTGAAAAAAGTGCGAGCACAGAACACCACAAGAGAATTGAACATTGATGGTGTTCGAAAACACCAACATTTTACCGCATTCGTATTTATAATTTCTTCCGTAAAGATGAAGTACAGTAGTTTGTTCAAGAAGAAATTGTCTAGATACTTCAGATCTTTCTTTTTTTTTTGCACTTGCACTTTTTTTACATTTTATTCTAAACTGCACCGTTTGGGATCTCGATCAACTATCTTGTCGCAGATTTTTGCATTTGAAAGAATCTTTGCACCGCAAAGAAAGAATCTTTGCACCGCAAAGAAAGAATCTTTGCATCGAGTCATGTTTGATGTTACAGTGTTCCACGTGTTCGAGAATGTGGCGACCAAGTATGACCTGATGAATGACACCATGAGTTTTGGCACGCACAGGCTGTGGAAGGACTATTTTGTGGACAAACTTGGGCCAATGAGTGACATTTCCCTTTTGGACATGGCAGGTGGCACTGGGGACATTGCCGCCAGGGTTGCCAGGTACATCAGGAACAACGATGCCGTGGAGCCCACAGGGCGCATTGTCATTGGAGACATAAATCCTCACATGCTGGAGGTGTGTTTTCCATTCATGCCTGCTTGTTCATAAAGATTTTCTGAGAGAGTCAATTTGAAGAAAGTAATGTTAATTAGGATGCGATTCGGAAAGAGAGAGAGAGAGATGTATGATAAGCACCCTTTAGGTGATGTTGGTTGGTTGTTTCATTTGTCCGCACACATACTGGGACTGTATCCTGGCAAAACTTGAAATCCAAAAATTGATTTCTGGGGAGAAGTTCGCGATTCATGTGAGAATTCCCTCACTCACTTTTCACTGTTTCTTTGATATGCTCGAGTATGTATGCACCGAATGTGGCAAAGGTTTACTTTATTTTTACAATGACGGGGTAAACTTCTTGGTCCTTTTCTTGTGCACGTTGAAAGTTGCTTGATGTGGTTCATGGTAGAATTCGTAAAAGGAAGAGGACATTTTTGTTGATCTTTCCTGATTCAGGCTAATCTGTGTCAAAGGCTGCAACTGTGTCCCTTGGTTTGCGAATGGTAATACCTTCTGCGTTGGTTATTTATTCGAAGGTGGGCAGACGAAAGCTGGAAAATGCCAACTTGGCCAAGGGATTGGAGTGGGTGGAAGCTGACGCAGAGAAGTTGCCATTCGACGCGGAAACATTTGATGCGTACACAATAGCATTTGGAATCAGGAATTGCGTGCATGTGCAAAAGGTGATTGATGAAGCGTACCGCGTGCTGAGACCTGGAGGCAGGTTCATGTGTCTGGAATTTAGCAGGGTCAACAATGCGCTGCTCGAATGGTGAGAATTCAAATGTGATGTGAATTGATGCAGATTTGATTCTGCTCAATTGCATTCAGGTTGTATGAGAAGTATTCGTTCGAAGTCATACCAGTCATGGGGCAGTTGATAGCTGGTGACTGGGAGTCGTACCAGTATCTTGTTGAAAGCATTAGGAAATTCCCTGATCAGGTAAAAAGTGTACCTCTTTGTTTTTTGAAGGATATTTGCTTCTACTCGTCAATTATTTGCAGGGAACCTTCGCCGAAATGATCAGATCTTCGGGCTTTCGTGCTGTCAATTATGAGAACCTCACATCTGGAGTTGTTGCAATACACTCGGGATTCAAGCTTTGATTATGTGACATTCATTATTGATTCGTGTTCTGCCTGCTGTGAGTGATCAAATTCGAAAGGGATGATTTATTATGAAGTGCAATTTGTTTTATTCCTCCCAATTTTCTGCTGCTTTCTCAATCTGCATCAAAATAGAAGTTGAATAAAACAAACTTTAAAAATCGCAATCAGATTTTGAATTTTGCACAGTTTATATATACGGAATATACCAACAAACCGAGGAATGAACAACGTCATCCTCCCGAGAAAAAAAAAACCCCACTTCACCAACAGATCAACTTCCTTGATATGTTCCCAAAAAATCACCAGCAACACACTCGTGACGAACAGAAAAATTGCCTACTGGAAACGAATCTATTGCAAATCGTTTGGTTCAAAAGTGATCTATCACTGACGCTTTTCCATCTCGCCCATTTTGGACTCTCTCCAACGAAGAAGAAAAGCGCTTTTCCTCGCAAATACCTCAAGAGTTTCCATCACAATACGCGAGTTTCGCGTTTTTCAACAACAAAATTCGCGATTTTTCTTCCATTCGTTTTTTATTCACAATTTTTTTTCTTTCAAAAACGAAATCACAGTTTCTTCATAAGTTTCTCACAGTGCTGTGCACCGACAAACCGTGTAAGCGAAGGAAAGAAGCCCGGGGGAACATGCATTTGCATTCGTCGCAGTATTCGGAAGACAACCGACGTTGTTTCGGAGCCTCGTCTGACAAGACACCACGCAACTTTTCTGACTGACTTCTCGCAGCTATATGAAACGTGCCTTAGAAATTACACTCATTTTATCTAAACTCGATTAAATTCTTGATACTAATTTCAGATCATTCATTTTGTTCCCGTGCTTTTTGACTTTTCCAAAAACGTCCATAACCCATTTTCGATGAGAATAATAATGCTGTACTATAGGTGCTCGAAAATTAACTCGCTGCGAAAAGAACATGCGGCGCAGGAATGGAATTTTCATGCGGAGTCCTCTTCAAATTTGTCCCAAAAAAGAACACGTTGCTTCACAAAACTGTAAATGTATGTCACTGGCAGTCGAAATTACTCTGAAGTGAGCAAAACACTTGAGTAAACTTGTACATGAGTAAATGAATGTTGGTTCACATTGCAGTTGTACTGTAAAAACATCGTCAACATTTCTAATAATAATTTCATTCACAAAATTCACTGATTAGCATTCCATTCTAAGCCAGAAAAGTTTCATTATTTTTTATACTAAGAGGGTAAAGCAAGTCAATAATGACTTTCTAATGTACTTATACCATTTCGTTTCAAGTCATGCTTTCTATTTTTTCAAATGGTCACAAAACCCATCATTTCAGAAGCTTTTAAGAATTACAGTACTATACAGAATTCACTTGAGTAAGCTGCTCGCCTTGATTTTTAAAGAAAACATTTAGTAAGAATGCACCCCCGCATTAGGGGCAAACCAGTTTTTATTATACTGTACATGTATACTGCTCAAAATATTTAAAGCATTAAAATATTTAAAGCGTTAAAATATTTAAAGCGTTAAAATATTTAAAGCATTAAAATATTTAAAGCATTAAAATATTTAAAGCATTAAAATATTTAAAGCATAAATATTTAAAGCATTAAAATATACCTAGGTTTAAAACTGACCTAACCTAACCTTACAACCTAACCTAACCAAACCTAACAACCTAACCTAACCTAACAACCTAACCTAACATAACAACCTAACCTAACCTAACCTAACAATCTAACCTAACCTAATTTAACCTAACCTAATTTAACCTAACCTAACCTAACCTAATTTAACCTAACCTAACCTAATTTAACCTAACCTAACCTAATTTAAACTAACCTAACCTAATTTAAACATTTTAATGCTTGAAATATTTTAATGCATATATATTTTTAAATATGTATTTTTTAATGCAAGGAAAAACCAGGGAGGCACCCGACTCCCTGCAAGTCACCCAAGGAAAGACCAGGTGCCTCGGCGGGGGCAGACCGCCAAGCGCGGGAGGCGGACTGCCTAGCGCAGGGGGCGGGGCGGCACGTTGTACTGGGGCACGTTATCCAGCGTGCCCCCACCTCGTCTTCTGAGCAGGATGTCGTGTTCATGATGAACAGCGACACCTAGCCCCTCTCAATGCAATCAATCTGCAGACTCAACCAGCCCGCCGGCAGGTAACCTGATCGGCACGCAGCGAAGCTTGCCGGGTGCTCTTCCAGCGTGGGTGGCCTCTGGAGAAGCCATGAGGTCTATTCGGATAGCAAGAAGAGTAGCGTGTTTTGATTCATGCAATTTGTCTGATCGTTATTTGTATCTTTGGTGCTTGACGTGATACTTGTTTCTTGGGCTGTGAACTTATATTCATTTAGTTTGTCTGCCGTGTTTCCTAATTTCTATTTTACCGTTCATTGCCGAAGGTGCGCGTGAAGTATTTTCCGATTTCTGTTAACCATGTCTCGCGGTTACGGTGGCAGTTCCAGCAGGTATGTGAATCAATCTTTCCTTGCTGACCGATTGTGATAGCTACGTATCGTGATTTTTTTTAGGCACGGAAGAGATGACCGGAATGGTGGTGGTCCAATGCGAGGCCGCTATGGTGGAGATCGTAATGATAATTACCGTCCACCTTATGATTTGAGAGAGTCATCATACGGTCGTGGAGGCGGTGGGAAAAAGGAACTTGGAGAGAACCTCAAGCGTATCAAATGGGATGTATCGTCGTTAATTCCTTTTCAAAAGAACTTTTACACGCCTACGTCGAAGGTGGCTAGTCGGTGAGGATATTTTTCGAAGTGTTGATCATGCTGGGATTTCGACTCGTGTTGGTTTCCATGTAGCCCGACCGCAGATGTGGACAGATACCGCGCTGAGCATGATATCACTATGGTCGGAAGGGACATTCCGAAGCCTATCGTGACTTTCGAAGAAGCCAATCTCCCAGACTTTTTGATGGACGAGTTCCAAAAGCAGGGTTACACAGCTCCAACTCCAATCCAAGCGCAGGGATGGCCGATGGCACTGTCTGGAAGGGACATGGTGGGAGTGGCGCAGACTGGATCTGGAAAGACATTGGCATATTTGCTGCCTGCTTTCATTCACATCAAGCACCAACCGCGTTTGGACCGCGGGGATGGACCCATCGTTGTGTGTCTTGCGCCAACCCGTGAACTCGCGCAACAAATTCAAGACGTTGCCGCCCAATTCGGCCGCTTTTTTGACGTGAGATCCGCGTGTGTGTTTGGTGGAGCACCGAAAGGCCCGCAACTTCGTCAGCTGTCGCAGGGTGTGGAGATCCTTGTGGCCACTCCTGGACGTCTTATAGATTTCCTGGAACTAGACAAGACCAACTTCCGGCGTACTACATATCTGGTTCTCGATGAAGCGGATCGAATGTTGGACATGGGTTTCGAGCCCCAAATCCGTAAAATTGTTGGCCAGATCCGCCCGGATCGACAAACCCTAATGTGGTCTGCAACTTGGCCCAAAGAAGTTCGGAAACTAGCTGAAGATTTTCTTACGGACTACATTCAAGTTAACGTTGGATCTCTACAACTCTCAGCCAACCATAGCATTCTTCAGATCGTGGACGTCTGTCAGGAATGGGAGAAAGACGAAAAGTAACGTAGATCCCATTGTCCAGAAGAAAGAAAAAATATCCATTTTACTCCATTACTTCTGTATTTGCAGGTTGTTCCGGCTTTTGGAGGAAATCAGCCAAAATCGCGAACGCAAGACTTTGATTTTCACTGAGACAAAGAAAGGCGCAGATGAATTGACCCGAAGAATGCGACGCGAAGGCTATTCAGCTATGACAATCCATGGAGACAAATCTCAACCTGAACGAGATGCTGTCCTTAACGGTGAGCTTACGCTGTCAAGGCAAGGTCACTCGAACCAAAATTTGTGATGTGCATTTTTTTCACGTCATTAGATTAAAAGCTTGATGAATTCCAGGTTTCTTTGAAGATTGACTCTCAAAAACGAAACGAAAATGAGCTGCATGAAGATTACATCTGTATAAAATGCGAAATAAAAGTTCTTCTCGATTCCGTTACTTTGCTTATTATAGTGTTGAGCATCCTTTTGAAATGAACAAAACTGAAACTGACGAAGAATTCTCTCTATGCATTGAATAAAGTCAACGAAAAAAGAGTTGCAAAAATAACTGCAAACAGAAGCTACTGATTCAAGAACTCGCAGTGGATATCATGACACTGCAAACCGCAGTAATGCAACCGTGTAGAACAAAATGCTTCCATTGAAAATCATTTCAGTCATTGCGTTTAGAGCATTCCCGGTGTAGAAAAATTTCGTTTCAATCCGCTCTAAAGCTGCTTTTTTATCGTATGGAGATAAGTGAACGTGAAGAAAATCTGATCACGTTACCAACAATTGAATGATTAATTTACTCAATGTTTTCTCCTATCCCCGAGTGGAATCAAGTCAAAGCCATAACTATTGATTTTTGTTTCGTTCAGATTTTCGCTTTGGCAAGACGACGATTCTTGTAGCGACAGACGTTGCTGCCCGTGGACTGGGTGAGTGTGGGGGTTGTAAATTCTTGGGGAACGATATATGTTAGAGCGAAAAAAAGAATGACTTGTTTCTCCCCTGCAGCATCCACGGCTGCAATCGAAAAGGACATGCGGAAACGAAGCCCGCTGTCAAAATTATGTGTTGCCCCAGGATATTTGTTAGTTGTGCGGTGATAGGGATTGAGTTATGGGTTGGTGTAGAGAGAGAGAGAGAGCTGGAAGTGGGCTGCCCGAGCGGATGAGTTGTTGGCACATGGGGTGTGGCATGCTTTGCCGGGGTCGTAGGTGCTGGCCAATTTTTTCGACGGAGCGGATCTCGGCTGCGTCTCTTCATTTTTCTATCCCACCGCTGGTTGGTTGGTTGGTTCGTTCGTTCCGAGACAATTTCAGCACGAGGCGACCCCCGCCGCATGCCGACGCCGTTTCCAACGCAGCAACCGCCACGAGGGTGCGTGTCATGCCTGTCGAAAAATGTTCCGCATGAATGCACCCGAGTTCACACCCACGCTCTCGCCGCGTTGTAAATTCGTAAGCGTCGTTGGGAATCCTTCACGCAGTTTTTCTGCATACCAAATTTTTCCGAAGCGAAAGGAAATTTCGGACGATCCTATCGTTTGATCATCTGATACGAAGATGATCCACGCGCCACTAGAGCAGAGCGAATATATTTCGGGAACTTTTGAATACTTCATTTTCATATTTGTGTCGATAGGGAAATTCTGACATCATCCGAACCACCAACTTGTGGAAGGACTAAAAAAGAAATTGCTGGCTTTTTCGGAACGAAGACTTATGCCTTGAAAAGTCTAGGAAATACAAGGGTTGTCCCTTGATTATTTCTAGAATAGGTATGACTTTAAAAATATTTTGATGAAGCCCACGTTTTTGTTGAATTCAGGGAGTTTTTCGGTTTTTTTTAAATTTGCAATTTCCTGCATGATAAGTGAGATCTTGCCAGCTGCGGTCAATCAAATAGCCAAAGTCGCGCTAAGTGGGATAACCCTCGTAAGTGGCATTCTCGAGATTATCATGACTGTACATTAAAGAATTAGAGTGATTTGAGTGTGACGTCCTCAGAAAATGGATTCTCTTGTGTCTAGTTTTGAATCACCGCAGTGAATGATGAGGAATCCCGCGATTCATCATCCCTTTTTCCAGACAGCGAAAAAAATATTGTTCGGATGATGTCGAGATTTTGTATTTTATTACGGTATTATCTTGCTTCTCTTTGCCTCAAAATCGTGAGCTCGCAATTTCCTGAAATATTCCCGTTCGTATGGGTCTAGAAGCGTGTGCATCCCTTCATATCATAAGGTCATGACTGAAACATGGCTTCACGCTTTCATCATCAGTCGCATATGATCAACAACTCTTTGAAGACCCTTCGGAGGGAACGTTGAAGAGTGTGAACGAAGAATAATTTCCCTTTTCTTTTGAATGTATTCATCGGGAAACCTAATTTTTTCACGCTTTCTTCCGACTTATTTCCATTCAAACTTGTCAGTCGAAATTCTGGGCCGAATATGAGTCGGTTATGAATAGCGGCTGTTTGGTTACCGATATACGTAGGAGTGTTACGCTGCGATTATGGATGTTTCTGGGGTGATGTAAGTAGCTAACACGCATTTCTCTTGCGAAAGATGTGGATGATGTGAAATTTGTCATCAACTTCGACTTTCCAAACTCCTCCGAGGACTACGTGCATCGAATCGGCCGCACCGGAAGGTGAGTTGAAACCAAATCTCTTCATTTATTTCATATTTGGAATAAAGTCCAATAAATATTTAAGAACTGGTACCTCAAATGGAATTTTCTAAAAAATTTTCTTCTCTTATTTGAAGCGGAACTTTGCGAGTTTGAAGGAAACGAAGGTACGAAGGCTGCTTCATGAGTCGAGATGCATTTTTAATGATGTGATGCAAAGAAGAGCTTTTCCTGAATTCCATTTTTTTTTCATGAAGTTACTGCAAGTTAATGACAAAATTCATGAACTATCCTCTTTTGCATCTATCAGAAAATGAAAATAGGCAGGTGAAAATTTCTTGGGGCATTATTTTTCGTAGGGAATTAAGCATATCCTCGTAGTGATATTGACAAAAAGAACCTTTCTTGAAGTTGTTCAAGTAATCACTCTTTTGAACCGCAGATCGAACAAGACTGGAACCGCGTACACGTTCTTCACGGAAAAAAACTCGCGGCAGGCGAAGGATCTTATTGGGATCTTGAAAGAAGCCAACCAAGTCGTGAACCCGAAGCTGATGGATTTGGAGTCAAGAGCGAGGAATATGGTTGGGAGAGGAGGTGGGGGCAATAGGCGCTGGGGTGGTGGTGGCGGCGGCGGAGGTTACGGAGGCGGTGGTCGTCGCGGCGGCGGCGGTTTTCAGGGCAGCTACGGATATTGAGGATCATTCGGAATGACACTTTCCCGCCTCAGTTTCATGTTGTTCAACTGCACTCTTCTCCGTTATGCCGTTTCATTTTTTTTTATGAAAAGACTGTATTCTTGATTGAAAGGAAGCTTTCATTAGTGGTTGACTTCAATCAATGATGCACTTCGAGAAGAGAACAGCAAGAGGAAAGTTTTTTTTCGTTGCGTTTAAGTATTTTCGTTTCTTTTTCTGGATTTTTCAAAACAAATTCTTCGAAAAAATTATTTAAATTTGGCTCCCATTTCATAATTGTGTCGGAGGCGTTCCGTTCTTGGAGCCAAAATAAAAGCTGGAAAATCCGGAAAATAAATTAATGTGCGTTCGTATTTCAATTCTGGTACCAAAATGTGCGTCTTGTCACGTATGAGGGAGTCCTTCGGACTTTCTGCCGTTGAAGTACAGGAGCCTCATGGTTTTTTCTTTGAAAGATACGTTCCATGTCTGTATTTTAGATATTGTTCGTCACATCTTGCGTGTTTATTTCATAATCCCGGATTGTCTTTCTTGAATAATGAACGACCATTTTTTGTTACAGTTTTTTTTAAAAGCGGAATGCGTGCTTGATGTTTCTTAGTGCTGATGGGGTCTCCATGTCAAATGCAAAGCTGATTGATGTGTCATGGCTGATTCGAGCGGGAAAAGTCGATCAGTATTGGCACCTGGATACGGCGGGAAAATATCCAGTCCTTGTAATCAAATGACGGGGACATGGATGCGAACATTTGACGTGAAAGAGCCCATTAGACACAGGAAAGGTTATACTTTATACAAAGTCGTGTCCCGCGTATATCCAACCATTGCGCCAGAAGCTGTGACAGAGGTGAGCTCCTGTTGTTCAGAATTCTGCAACTGATTCAAATCGAGTAATAATCGGTGTTCTACGATGTTCCCTTTCAGTTATTGCGCATATTTTATATTTTCTGGCGTAATTCTGCCATTAGCACAGCATTACTTTCATTATGAGCCCTGGTCAGGTTTATTTCGTTGGTGACCGTCCGGAATGTGCGATCTTCATATGATGAATAACAGCAATTTTTCATAACATTTTAAAATCTATTGTATAAAAATGCCTTGAATATCTTTTTTTAATTAGCGGGTTCAGTGAAACTTTTTGAGTAACTTGAAAAATCAATAAAGGCTGGACAACTGACTTTGGACTCGAATAAAAGTGCAACGTTTACATTTTTACAAAATGCAATTTTCAAATTGATTCTATGATTTGGAGTACAGTACTGCGTGTCCCCCCCCCCCCCCATCACAATTTTGTGAAGTACAGTATAAGCGAAACACATAATAGTTTGGATTGCGTAATTTAATTGAACTACGGTTTGATAGCAAATTGCGTTCCCGTATGTCCTGAAGTTTTGAAATTAAGTTTGAAAAAGTTGGTGTCATTCCTGTTTCTAAATGATGAAAAAGTACTCGGCACCTAGCTTGCTCTTGCTGATGAAACCAATTGAGCTCAGGCAGCACCTGCATGATATCAGTTCTTATGTTTTTTTAATAGATAACGGTTTGGAAAAGATACAGCGATTTCAAAAAGCTTCACGCCGACATTGTCACATTGCACAAAAATTTACATTTGCAAGGGAAGGTCCCAATTTTCGCGAAGAGGAAAATATTCGGAAGGTTTGTAAAAAAAAAAATGGGAAAATTTTACTCGGAAGAAGTCATTTTTTTTCGATGGAATTTCATTTCAAGATTCGAAGATGCTGTTATTGAAAATCGTCGGAGAAGTGCCAAGGAACTTCTCGATTTCATCGGTCTCCATCCACCGCTTTTCACCAGCCAACTTTTCGCCCAGTTTTTCGAGGTAACTGAAATAGTAATTTTTTTTTCCTTCATGAAGGCTCTTACGAAATTCGCGGGATATAAAATATGATCGAGCTGGAAAACAAGTATTAAAAAAAAAAATTCTTCCTGTTCGACGCATTTGTTGCAATATTTTTGCAAAAGTCACACTGGCAGATTCCTGCTCTTCTCTCAAAAGATGAGGACCCAATCTTGCAGATTTTTTTTATTTCTGTCCAGTTCTCTTTCGTAATGTTTTGAAATTTTGAAATTGCCATCAGTTCCAAGGGTTGACTACAGGTTTTCCGTGTTGATTCCGCCATTTTCATCAACAGCCGCTATTTCATATGAGAATTTTGCGGCTGCTAAAATGGCGGGATTAATAATCAAATAGTTGCGGCAACCCTTGGAATTTATGTCATGTCAATTTTAAAAAGTCCAGAATGGAAAGCTAGTGTACATCAAAAACGAAGTGGGCGCCTCATAATTTCAGTGAAAAGCAGAAAGCTGCCAAGCTGACTTCTGCAACAATAAAAAAAGGGAAAAAATTTCAAACATGGCTGCATTATTTTTTCTTAAGCCAAAAACGGTTTTTCATGAACAGTAATTATTTTCAGCTCAATCGTTCGCCGTTTCTGTTACTATCTCGAGAGCATGTGTTAAAAACCTCGTATACATCGAGACTACGGATGTTTTCCTACAGGATGATGCGAGTGAGATCCGATTGCTGGACGAGCGGAAAACGCTGAGAGAAAAACCATTGATCCCGTCGCCGCCGGAAAGTGAGTCCGAAGCTACTGCTAGTCAAGATGGCGAGCAATTCGTCGTGATCTCAACCCCGGAAACGTCGGATGAAGACAGTCCTTGCGTTCCGGAAGACCAAACCTTGTCCATTTTTCTCACACCGCCATCTCCAGAACATGTGAGGAAAAGTGCTCCGAAACCGGAAGAGCCGACGATGAGAAAGTCGAGCTCGATTTCCAGTTTCCTCGGCGGAATCTGGCGCCACTTTCGAGACGACGACACCATCAGTTTATCGTCGGACGTGTCGGATGACGCGTTGACCGTTTCCGCGGAATTGGCACGGAATATCGCCGAAAAGTGCCACGTTGTCGACGGATCGGATGAAAAGTGAGTGTAAATGCCCGTGTCGGTTTTACTCCACTATCAATTGGCTGTTGGTGGGTCGAGTGAAAAATTTAATGGAAGTTCATCGTCGCATGAAAGACGAATTTTTTTTTTTTTTTTAAATGAGAAATTTCAAAACTCGGATTTAGTGAAACTATTTATCCCAAGGTCGCCGTCTCATGTGGTCGTGGAAAAAGGATCCCAGTCTGGACGTTACATCGTTTTAGCAGCTGAAGTCGTGGCTTCAGCCCAAGAAGCCGAGTCTCAGGCGGATTTTCGGTCCGCTTTTGTCAAGTACAAGGCGAGCATCGGGATATTGCTCGAAGGTGTTCAGAGTGAGTTTTGTTCATGTTTAAATAAAAAAAAATGTTGGTTGACCATTTGAATGTCTTTTTATGGTAGACGATGATGATCATGCTCGAAGAAATGCCGTGCGGAAGAAGACTGCGAAATATTTGGAACGAGCGGAAGCGATTCATCGCTGTTATCTGGCCAATTCGGAAGAATTCACCTGGGATGTGAGTATTCTGATGACCGAATATTTGCACTTCAATGCGCCCCAAGCATGATTTCCGTTCATCTATTTTCACTTAGGATGGAATCAGCCCAAATTACTGCGCAAGTATTTTGCACCTCCAAGTGCCATTGATTGAATTGTCGCGATACAAAATCTTGGGTGTGATTGGAACTGTTCTGCTGGCCCTGGACGCAGTTTTAGGCAGGACTTGCGTCATCAAGGTAATCCGCGATTTTTAAATTTATTCTTTGTTACTCCTTTTCGACCTACTTTCGAATCACTGTTTTAAGAATGCGGGCGAAAACTAGATCTCCCTACTTGGATGAAAAGTTTTCTTTCGTTGATCAGGTGCTGAGAAAAGCGTCCGCCAGTGGTTTATGGACTTCTGTCGGAAAGAAAACCGTCGTTCCCGATCATGTCGCTCACGTCGTGAAGCTTTATCACTTCCACGAAACTCCGTCTTCAATTTTTCTCGTGCTGGAATACGCCACGTGAGTTGGAATTTCCGAGCCTAGCGGAGAGTTTCAATAATTGATTCAATTTTCGTGTGAATGCAAATTTATAAATAGCATGATAATTTATATAACGTGTCGCCAAAATTCTGTGTGATGATTCTTAATGAAAAAAAAAAATTACTTCGTCTGTCTATGTGAATGCTTAAAAAATTATATTTGCATCGTTGCAGAGGAGGAAAGCTGTGGGACTACTTGGGTAAATATTCGGAAATGAAGAGAAAGACTCTGAGGGCGGATTCTTTGTTGGAGGGCAGAAGAAACAGTGATTTCGGTGACCAAGTGCAAACATCAGCGGCAAGACAAAGCTTGATCGACGGCATTCCTGTCTTTGAAGAATCGTGCAGAACGCGTTACGAGGACCTTTTCCGTCCCGAAACGGGCGACGAGCCTGTCGTGAATTTGAACGAAGGGCCAGACGACGGCGACGGAGTTTGCAAAGGTGTGTTTCCTGGACGTCCGACTCACCGGCGTAGCAAAAGCATGGACGTGAGTCTTCGACTTTTTTTTCTTGAAGCAGGAATGCTGTGAATGCGATACAAAATCAATGTATACTTCAAAGTCTTGTGTTCTGTTTCCACCTGTAGCTTCTGTACTTTTTCTTTCCTTGCGACACAGGTGCGAATCATGTCGCCGTCACACAGGGGCCGTCTGGACTCGAGGCACAGTTTCGACGCCGGGGACCACAGCGGCACCAGCTGCATAGGGTCGGAGCAGAAGGACGAGGTGGATTGGTCGGACATCATGCCGGAGTCGTGCGTGAAGCGATGGGGGGCAGAGCTGGTCGTCGCCGTCGCCGGGCTGCATGCAGCAGGCATTGTGTGCAAGGACCTGCGTCCGGCCAACGTGCTGCTCGGCTCGGGGGGCCAAATCCTTTTGTCCTACTTCAGCGAGTGGTGCTGCATTAATCGCACGCTGCTCCCGCAGCTGGTTGACTCGGGCTACATGGCCCCAGAAGTGCTGGCCGGCGTGTTGGACGGATGTGGCCCGAAGGTCTCGCCGACGGCGTGCGATTGGTGGAGTGTGGGCGTCTTGTTATACGAGCTGCTCACGTGGCACAAGTTTGTCGACTGCCACGTGGGCTTCTCGGCTCACCAAGTGGTGCTCAGATTCCCGGATCATCTGTCCAAAGATGCCAGAGATCTGCTGAGTGAGGTGCGTCCGCGATACCCTGTCCCCACGATTATGCCGTATTTTTCCAATATTTTCCCGATTTTTTAAAATCTGAGTTTGATTTATTCTTGCAGCTGCTGAGGTTCAATCCAAAAGAACGTCTGGGCGCAGGAGTTCGTGGCTGGGAAGAAATCAAAGCACACCCATTTTTTAAGGGCACTAATTGGGATCTTTTATTGAAGCAAGCGGATGATTCGTGATCATCATTACGGTGGATTGTGTCAAACGAAGCACTCCTGTGGCGCGGGAAGAAAAGCCAATTATTTTTCGTGTGTGGTGAAAGTGATATGAGCATTGATTTTTGACATTTGGCCTTTGTGCCTGTGGTGCAACTTCGTGATTCGGCAGCAAAGAATTTGTTGTTTTTTTTTTTTGGGTTGGTAAGCAGAAGAAAAAAATGTGGTTTGCTTGAAGTTTGAGATCTCGTCTGGTTTTATTTTATTTCTATTTTTCCATTGTGAATTCACGGATACGACAGCGTGTTTTTACCATTTTCGTCAGGTGTGTCTGCGGTTCGTGTTTACAGAAAATCTGGTCGGCATCAAATGGAGGCAGGTAAGGACGTCTTTTTTTTTCTTCTTCAAATTTGTTAAGTTCGGCTGGACTGCAGCTGACACTTATTTCCGCAGATTCGAGAATTGAAGCAGCGGGAACTTCCAGCAGTCGAAAATCCTCCGTGAAGTGAGTGAACACTCGACGTCGTTATTCGAAGATGCAATTTTCTTTTTCTTTTTGACACAGGAAGAAGAAAAAGAAATCTAAAGATGCTACTCCCAAACATGCCACTTCTTCGAGAAAGAGGAGAAGTGCGGAAGAGGCACACGAAGCGAGATATCTTGATGCCGTGGAGCGAGGGAGTATTGATGATGTCAGTTTCGATATTTGAATGATACAACAAATTTTTTTCTGAGATCAACGGAGCAATTCTCGTGTTTTTTTTAGGTGAACGCCTTGCTGGGTGGGAAAAAAAGTAAGGTGCTGACTGCAAGACAAAAGGCCATGCTCTCGCCTGGCGATGATGTTGAATATGCCAATATCCTTGCCATGTCATATGGTGAGAATCAGTTGCGATTTTTTCAGCGTCCCCGAAGAGTCGCTGTGCCACTGTAAATGGTTAATGAAGGATTTTCCCATGTGATCCATTTTATTAAATCATGGGCGAACACGTCAGTGATTCTCTTTAAATAACGTGTATTGTACATGTTTTCTCAAGTGCACCCTTTTTCAACATTAAGTGGGAGAAAAAAGAGTGCGCTTCATAAGCGGGACAATTTTTTCAAAATTTTAGATGCTCATCATACTTCGTCTTTATATAAAAAATTATGGTAATTCCGCAAAAAATTATTTTCAATCAAAGCTATCGAAAATTCGTTCAAATTAAAATTTTGATGCATTTTATGTTCAAAACTTTGTCCTTTTTTGTCTGTAAGCATGGTGTGTGCGCAATGTTTTAGCAGTGTCCGAAAACATTGCTGGAAATATGCAAGGATTGATTGGGTTCCAGATAGCATTTTATTAAAATTAAGAATGGCCTCTTTTAATGCATTCTCCTACGATTTCATTGCCCTTCTTCGTGTGTCAAGAAATGGAAAAGTACTGTCCCACTGAATTTATGGCCAGAATTATTATTTTTTTTCTCTGAGAATCGATGAGAGATTTATTGACTGGTCAACCCCTTATAAAATCAATGCTTAATTTTTTTTGCAAGGGTACCGAGACAGAGCCATGACGGAGGCAGAAGTCGCTCGAAAAGCTCGATTGTCAGAAAAACGAAAGGAGGATCAGAAGAAAAAGCGCGAAGAAGAGAGGGTATATTCATCAGCTTGAGTCCAAATTCTGATAACTGAATTCGATGATAATTTTTTTCTGCTTTCAAGATTCAAACTGTTGATAGATTGCTGGGTAAAAATATTACGAAGGAGCCAGTGAAGACGAAATCCATCACTTCTATTCCCAAAGGGAAAAAGTCCAAAGGAAGTTCTCCTACTCCACTTGGGCGAGTTTCTTACAAACATTCTGCATCTGATGCCACTATTTCTGGTCCCGTTGGCTGGGAATTTCCCATGAAACCTGCGCCACCGAGGTTCTCTAAAATTACAGATTTTTCACTGTCGAAATTACGGGATTGAAGTTAAGTTCTGCTTGATTTATTTTTCCAGAGAATATCCCAAGTTTGTCATTTGTGGAGTGGAAGGCTGCAAAAATCCAAAAAAGTACAATTGCGCCCAGACAAACATGCCGTTGTGCAGCTTGGACTGCTATCGAACGAATCTTGTTTCTGCCTGCGACAATTCTGCTACTGTACTTCGTTAATGTGATTCATTAAAAAAACGTGTTTGCATAACTTGTGGATCCGTTCCTGGGGATTGGGAATCAAATGATTCGAATTTCACACATTGTCGGTTTTGCTCTGTGTCCAGATTCAAAATATTTGTGCATTGAATTAGCAAACGAGAGGAAAGCGTTTCCGCATCCAGAATGGCTGCATTCGAAGGTACGCACTTCAAAGCTTTATTTATCTTCTAATGAAGAACTACGACGGGTATTTTCATGCCCCTCGTAGTTCTCGGGTTAACGAAAGTTATCGGGTTGAAAATAGAAATGACATATGATTGAGCGTAAAAAACTATTTTTCAGAAAAATAAGCATTCTTTCGCACAAGAAAAAAATTCAGCCAAGTTTTTTCGTATAATTTTCGTTTTAATTTTTGCAAAATTCACCTTGGTAGCTTTGTGCGCTTGACTCAAAAGATGAGGTTTCTCATCTCGCAGATTTTTGTGTCCCTTCAGGATTTTTGACATTGACCTGGAGGAATTGAAAAATTCCAAGGGTTGCCTCCAGGTCTTCCAAGGTAATGTTTTGAGGAAAAATTGATGGCGGCAACGCTTGGAATTAATGTCTTGTCAATTTGAAGAATTCTGAAGAGAAAGCTGTGGCACGCAAGTTCTAAGAAATGGGCGTATCATCATTTGAGCAAAGAGCAGAAAATTGCAAGGGTGACTTTAGCAACATTTTTCTGGATTTATTTCAGTTAGGGCTGCATTATTTTTCATGGGCCAGAAAATTTTTTTTCTGAGCAACAATTATGGTTCAAATCATTTGTATGTCGTTTCAATTTATATTTCGAAAGACATTTCTTAGATATCTCGTAAGATCAATTTTCTACTGTATAACCTAATCGAAGCGCAGTCGTATTTTTGGATTTGCTTGGTTAATTAAATTGAGCGTTAATTGCAGAACTTGGAGTGCAACCCGAGATCGTCAAAGCGGTCGAGGAGATGGAGTGGAAGTAAGTTCTTTGAATTCTTCCCTCCCCCCCCCCCTTTCAGTTGACTGGGAACCCGTTCAATTGTTCGTTAATGTGCTGTAGTTTGCCAACGGATGTCCAAGCAGAAGCCATTCCCCTTATCCTTGGTGGCGGCGATGTCCTAATGGCTGCCGAAACTGGCAGTGGCAAGACCGGCGCCTTCTGCATCCCCATCATCCAGATAGTGTGGGAAACACTACGAGATCTGCAGTCCGGGAAGGGGAAACGGGGGGACAAAGGCGACAGTAGCGATCCCGTGGACACGAGCTGTAAACTCAGCTACTTTGACAGGACGAATGCACTCGCAGTGGCCCCCGACGGACTCAGATGCCAGGCCAGGGAATTCAAGGACTGGCACGGATGTCGAGCCACCAAGGGAGTCAAGGATTCCGGAAAGTATTACTTTGAGGCAACTGTGGAGGACGAAGGACTGTGTCGCGTCGGGTGGGCCACGCAGTCAGTTAGTTTCTTTTCTGTCATTCCTGTCGTCGCGTTTCCTCACTGGGACGAGAAGAAAACTTGATCAGATTTTTTTATGATCGATTTTTCAAGATGATAACACACAGTTGTATCTCTCCACGCCAAAAAGGCCTGTAGAAGCTGCGAATAGCGACAACTCCTCTGTGGCAGTGATACTTTGTGAAGAAGAACAAATGCAAAACTTGTTTTTGAAATCGCAAAGTGATATCATGGACGCTTTGCTCTGTATTATTGATAGTTCTGAAATTTAGATGATTGGCAGATTCAACATGAAAGTTTGTATAATCATCCGGCGAATTATTTTTATTTTTGATATTTTTCATACAAGGATGTACTTTTTTTTTACAATAATAAAAAATCTGAGAAGGCCATACAAGCAAGATGAAATTTATCAGAGGCAGGTCTGATTTGAAATTTGTTTGCAATCATGAATTTTGATAATTTTGTTTTAACAAATTTTTCAGTGTAATACACTTTTATAAGGTCCCCAAAAGTTTGTGGTAGCAAGACTGTGTTCCTTTTCGAAAATTGATATGAATTTGACGTAAATGGTTTTTTTTCTTACTTTTGGTCCCATCGTTTTCTGAATTTTGTCGTGATTTTTATTTTTTTGCGACAGGCAGTCCTGGATCTTGGCACAGACAAGTACGGCTTCGGGTTTGGAGGCACAGGAAAGAAATCCAACAACAGAAACTTCGAGGACTATGGACAACCGTTCGGTCTTCACGACACGATCGGCTGTTACATCGACCTCAAGCAAGGTGTGATCGGCTTTTCCAAGAACGGCGCGGACTTGGGCGTGGCTTTCCACATCCCGGGCAACATGTTGCACGAGCCTTTCTACCCGGCTGTTGTGCTGAAAAATGCCGAAATGCTGTTCAACTTTGGAGAGACGTCGTTCAAGCATGCCCCGGGCCCGGACTTCGTGGCAGTCGGGAAAGCTGGCCCTCAGACAGCCGTGATGAACCGGGTGTCGGGAGACGGTGCTGCCCATGTGGGACCAGCGAAGCCCGTGCTCAAGAATGCGCCTCAGGCCATTATTATCGAGGTGAGGGATAAAAACCTCTGCATTTTCCGCATGCATTTTTGTTCTCGTTCTCGATTATATTGTGTGGAAAATGATACATTTTTTCCCCGCTGCTTCGAACGCGTGCTGAATTGTTGCTGCGGGACTACCTGGGATTTCTATCTCGATCTTGAGAATTTTGACACGTGTCTGTGTTTGTAGCCGTCGAGGGAACTGGCTGACCAGACGTACTCCGAAATCCGGCGATTCAAGAAATACTTGAATGACCCTATGCCGAGAGACTTGCTAGTCATGGGTGGTGTGCCGATCAAGGACCAGATCAGCGATTTGCTCACCGGTGTGGATCTAGTCGTGGGCACGCCCGGGAGGTAAGGTGGCCTGATTCCCAACCCCGGCTCAAGTTTCGTTTGTGTGCACAATGATGAGAAAATTCCATCTCTCGTGTCAACAGGTTAGAAGAACTGATCAATGTGGGTCACTTGGGATTGACCCAGTGCAGGTTTTTCGTGTTGGACGAAGCTGACGGCCTTCTGAGTCAGGGTTACGGGTCTCTCATAGACAAGATTCATGCTCAAATCCCGAAAATCACCGCTGACGGGAGAAGACTTCAGATGATTGTTTGCTCCGCAACACTGCATTCATTCGATGTGAAGAAGATGGCAGTAGGTTGATTTTGCGGAAGACTATTTTTTTCCAGTTCTGGCGCAGCTTTTCTATTACTGTAATCAAAATATTTTTGATTGGCAAAAGAATGATGCATTGAAAAACTGAAACGTCTTCAGTTGAACCTGCATGAATGCTGATTGTTCAATGTCCATTTTGAATGTACTGAGTAGCATTTTGAATGGAATCAAGGTCGAAGAAAGTTTCCTGCAAAGGTAAGGGAATTTATAAACATTCGAAGAGCGGTGTCCAACACACGGCCCTGGAATTTTCACGGTGGCGGCTGCCACTGTTGAAATGGTATTTTAAAGGATGAATTTCATAATCAAAAATGTTACTCCACCCTTCAAACGTTCTGTGAGGCAATGCTCGTGATTCAATTCATTGCTATGAATTGAGTATCTGAAAAAAAAGCTTGTCCTCTACTCGACTGGGCTTCCCTTCACAATTGAGTGAAGTGTCTGGAAAATAGCATGACTTTGTAATTTCCAGGACCGTCTGATGCGTTTCCCGACCTGGGTCGACCTGAAGGGACAAGACTCTGTCCCTGAAACCGTGCATCATGTGGTCGTGAACGTGGACCCGAGAAAGGATCCGAGTTGGAAGGGATTGCGGCAACACGTGCAGACGGACGGCGTTCATTCCCAGGACAATATCCAGAATCAGAGCCCGGAGGCATTATCGGAAGCCATCAAGGTGCTCAAGGGGGAATACTGCGTTCGAGTCATTATGGAGCACAAAATGGATCGTTGCTTGATCTTTTGCCGCACGAAGCTGGACTGCGACAATTTGGAGAACTATTTTATATCCTTGGGTAAGCACAAGACGGAAAGTAAATCGTGAACAACTAAGAAAAAATACATTGCTTCTTTTTTTCAATATTACTGGTTAAAATAATGAAATTACAGCACAATAATTGTGTACAACGAAAAATATTGATGCTACGTTATCAGCATGGGGATGGAAAGCGATAATTTTTTCATGAAGAGTCATTTTCAACATGATTGTTCGTGTTTTTTTAATATTTAGTTGATACATTGATAACGCTGACGAATGAAAAGCCATTCTGAAGTGCATTTTTTGTCGCATATCTGTTGGCGACATTTTTCAACTAACACAAAGATAACGTTTTTGAAAAGTGTCATCATGAGCGAGAAACGGCAAGTAGGGTTTTCTTTTCAAATCAACCTCTTTCCTCAGTTTCTGGACTTTCGGGTAGGTGTCGCCGGAATCACTTCCCTGATCGAGATTTCAACACAACGTATAATTTTTAATTGACCTAGTTTATTCCAAACATTTCTAAGCGTTGACGCACATGATGCAGTAATACATTACAGTTGAACCTCGGTAACTCTAAGCTCCCTATGTGAATTTTTTTTTCAAGTCCCTTTATTTCTGAATCTCCTGAGAAACAATTCTCTAAAAACCTCCCTAAATGAAAAGGATTAAACTCGAATTTTTAGGAAGCATTTTGACCATTATTTTTATTACTCAGAAAAGAAAAAAGCTATACGTATGTACATTGATGCTTTTTTAAATGATGAGAAAGAATAATTTGGAATTTGAACCCTTGCCTCCTACTTCAGCATCCTTTCAAGTTCTTTACAAGGCAGTTTTGGGTTTAAAGGAACCCCGTATTTCAACTTCCTTTTTTTTTTTTTTCAAGGCAAGAAGGGTAGTTTCACCAACTCGAAACGCCTCTGAGTCGAATTTTTCTGCTGGTGCCTTCGACTTTGACTTGAAGAAGTTCCACTGACCGTATTTGATGATTGATTGGAATTTTTCAGGAGGTGGCCCGAATCGGCAGGGACACCAGCTGTCCTGCGTGTGTCTGCACGGGGACCGAAAGCCCGCAGAGCGGAAGGGCAACCTGGAGCGGTTCAAGCGGAACGAGGTGCGTCTGCTGATCTGCACGGATGTGGCGGCCCGCGGCCTGGACGTGCGAGGCCTGCCTTTTGTCGTGAACGTGACTCTGCCGGACGAGAAGAGCAACTACGTGCACCGGATCGGACGCGTCGGCAGGGCGGAGCGAATGGGGTTGGCCGTGTCCCTCGTGGCCAGCGGTCCAGAGAAGGTGTGGTTCCACGGCGAGTGGTGTCCCAGTCGTGGCCGGGGCTGTCGCAACACGAAGCTAACTACCGAGCGCGGATGCTGCATCTGGTATGACGAGCCGAACGTGAGTGTCCCAACTACGACTCCCCCTTTTTCGTATGTTGTTGGAATTTGATAATTGATTTTTTTTTCCCCTTGGACTGACGGTCAATTGAAAAAAAAACATTTTATTCTGACGACCAAATCTTTATTTTTCCTTCTCCTTCCTGTCGAGAAAGTCGCCGCTTTTACGTTTTTGTTTCTATGCATCGCCGACTTGTAGATGAAAACACAATCAATTAAGAAAAAACAATTTCTGTTGGTGAAGCAAAGAATTTCTACAAGATTTGAACTGCTGGAAAATCAGTTGTTTTGTTGGCAATGTGATCGATGTGCTGCTGCTGATTGATTATTTTTCTATAACTAGATAATACAGTATTCTCAAGTTTCAGAACATATTTCGCTAGTACAGTACAGTAGTTCAAGCCATATAGAATGCTTTCTGGTATTCATGCATGGACTGCGTTTTCCTTGAAGTTTTCCTTTTTTGCATCATTCAATTTCTTGTTATTCCTTTTTGATTTCAGCTGGTCAAAGTAAGAGTGCGGCGTTTCTTTTCTTCTTTTTTTGTTGTTGTGTCGATGCCTGAATCGAGTTTTATTTATTTAATTCCCTGGGGGAGTTTTGAGTTGAATTTGTTATCCTCTGCGCAGTTGTTGGCCGAAATAGAAGAGCATCTGGGTGTGACGATCCCGCAAGTGGGCGCTGACATGAAAGTGCCTCACGACGAGTTCGACGGGAAAGTAACGTACGGCCAGAAGCGGTCCGGAACGCAGACAGGCTACGAGGGCCACGTGGCCCAAATGGCCGACACCGTCAAGAACCTAGCAGACCTTGAATGCCGGGCCCAGCTCACGTTCCTCAAACGAAACTACGTTGAAGGCGGTTCTTGGATGCTCGCGTCGTGATGATTGTTGTTGGGCGGCAGGCAAGGCGCCGGCTGAGGACTTGAGGGAAGGGAAAGGGCGGCCGAGGAGAATAATAAAGGAAAACCCGACCTTTTTTGCGTGTGTAAAACGTTGTATTCTTCTTGCTTGGGTTTATTCCTGGGGAGCGACGCGTGTGTTTTGACAACACACTAGTTTTTTCTGTTTTATTTTTGTGGGGGGGGGGGGGAATTCTCATCCACTCATCACTTGTTCCGAGAACCGATCGGAGTAGAATGAATGGTGAGGCTTAAGTTGCCAATGGTTTTTGTGTGGATGGCCTGGACGGTTGAGTGCCACACAAATGACCATCTACCGAATGAGCTGTCTTCTTTTCTCTTGACTGAGAAAACAGGGATGTGTCACCAGCAGTCAAAGGAAATGACAGTACTGTGCGGTACTAATGTGCAACCTTTTACCTCATGCACTGCAATGTTGACAATGTTTGCGAGGATTGGAATATGGTATCATTTCTGTGTTATTGTAAAGAAATCCTATCTGGCTAAGCTGGCCCCTCAAGAACATGGGACTGTATGCAAACTTCGCAAGAGCCTGTATGAAAGCAAATCACTACTCTTACTGTAGGCAATATACAGGTAGACTCTCTCTCTCTCCAGCGATTTTCTTGTTTTAAAGAATTTTTGGGCACCTAAAGAGGTTCTGTAAAACATGATTCTCTCAGCAAGAATGTATTTTTTGTCCCCTGATTTTTTTGGAAGAAGTCCACCTTTATGCTGGAAAAATTTTCAATTAAGCCACAATGAGCGTGGAATAATTTATGTGTTGTAAGGAAATATTATTTGGCCGAGCTGCGCCTGTAAAACATGTGGAATTTATGCAAACTTATCATAAGCGTGCTAAAAGATAAAACCACAACAGTTAGTATTGACAATATGCAGGTAGACCCTCTCTCTCTCTCTCTCTCTCTCTACAACATATTTCTCTGAATAACGGATTTTTTTTTGATCCCATTGTAGGGTTTCTCTAAAACAAAATTCTCTCTCTTAAGAAATGTTCCCGGGCCCCCTGAATTTTGTTGTAGAGAGAGTTCGCGTTTATATGTATTGAAAAGGCGGTCAATTGGGTTGTGATGAGTTTTTTCTTGGTGTTCAGTTGGGAGGCGCCACGTCAGTGTGTGTGGGAGGCAGGTGGAAAAGAGGATTCGAGAAATCCTGCTCAGTACTGACTTGACTGAAGGTCCTATAACGGGACCTGTCGACCATTTCTCAGCCCCAGGGGGATTGATAGGCTCTCGGAAATTGTGTGTGGGAGGCAGGTGGAAAAGAGGATTCGAGAAATCCTGCTCAGTACTGACTTGACTGAAGGTCCTATAACGGGACCTGTCGACCATTTCTCAGCCCCAGGGGGATTGATAGGCTCTCGGAAATAGTTGCTTTTCGTGTTCCTGCTGTGGCCTTGGGTCACGCTGAACTTCCGGTTATTAAGAGAAAGGCGATTTCCATTTCTTAAACTCACTCTCGAAATCGTGGATGGATTGCTGAGTGAGACCTTTTTTTCGGCGTAAACTGACTTATCGCTAGCTTTTATCGAAAAATTCGGGGGAAATACATATTACTGCAGTAATGGCATCCAATTTGAATGAAAAAAGTGGATTTGCGGGCAACGAAGTGCATGATCGCAATTCGCAAGTTTTAGGAAGAATCTTTGATTCGATTCCAATGATACTCATCAAGATATGGAATTCTATGGATCTTTTGAAGAGCAGGTTTTTCATGGAAGCCTTGCTGGTGATATCCACATGGATTATAATTTTTTGCTATCATATAATGCAAGAAGATAAATTATCCCCAATAAATTATATTTTTCTGCAAGAACAGTAATTTGTGGGTGACTTATATTGCAAGAACCCCCTTTTTTTTTAGCTGTTTGCTGTGTTACTAATCAACAAATATGGAACAGCAAACCAAGCCAATAAAACTTGTGCGTTTCAAAACAAAAATGGAACTACAGTATCCCCTAGTTTTTGTTTTCCTTGACGCAGTCATCATTCAGTTAATGAACTGAATTAGTTCCAGACAAAAGTTTGACCACAAAGTTCCATTTTCCCTCTTACAGTACTGTTTTTTTTTAAACCTCAATAACCTGAAAATCCCCAAGATTAATTTTTTAAATTCACTGTCTGAATTTACAAAAAAAAAATGCATCAAAAATCTTTCTAACTTGAAGGAATTTCCTTGTAAGCCTTCATAACTCAAATTTTCCTACGTCCTTCCATTTTCTCAACACAGGATGGAAGAATACCATAAAATTAACTTTCAAAGGATGAACTGAAAGATCAATTGTAGAAATGAACCTTTGCCTGATGTCCAAGTTCATCACCCTTTCATCTCATTCAAGATGCACTGTGAGGCCCAGAAAAATGCAATCTACAATTTCCTGCAACTGTTCTGTATTTCCAGCAACAAATATTCTTGTAGCTATACAGTACCTTGAAACCTCCTCAACTCAAAAAAATATTTTGCCAGTCCCTTGATATTTGACCTGGAAAGGTTTGACTGTGCTTGAAATTTCTTCAGAAAATGATTATACAGAACAGTAGTTCCAAAAAGCAATCAAAATTGTTGAGTATTGGATGATCCCATATCATACGATAAGATTTCACTCATCATTACGCAGTGAAGGGAAAATATTTTCTGAATAAATAAATAAAAAATTCATCAGAAACTTGGAAAATATCATGGGCTAATCATGAATTTGTTTTTAGATCACATCACATCACCTCCTCTAAAAATACTAGAGGTCCCATCCAACTGGGACAACCCTCATTGTATACACATGAGGGTTGTACATGATTTTCCTGCTGGTGGCGGGTTCTTGTGGAACAGACCCTCAAAAGCAGCCCAGAATCACCCATTAGCAGACAATCATCAAGCAAACGTGTGTCTGGATGACTTGAGACGAGGTAGAACCTAGAAGAAGGACATGCAAAAAAAAAAAAAGGCAAGGTGAGCTTACAGGCTGAATCACTCCTAGCTGCCACGTGTTCCATCCCAGAAGAGCTGGAAAGGTGTTGATGATGGGCTTTGGGTTAGCTTAGGCCTGCTGCCTTTTGCGCCGCAGTGTTATTGTGATTTCTGACCTGCTGCTGCTGGAGTAGTCTCCTTTTTTTTTCTCGGGAAAATCAGCGCGGAAGGAAAGCAAAGCTGTTTGAGGAAGAAGAAGGATAGCCAACGATTCCTGGGTAATGAGGTTCCAGACGCCGGATAAACAAATAACGCGGCTCTTGCTTCCCATCACACGGGTTTCGGTTCTAGAAAATATATAAAAACGCTTTCGACCGTCTTCCATCACTGACAACATTTCCTTCGCAGTCGTCTAGCGAACAAGAAAGAAAGAAAGACGGAGAAACTAAACTGTTGGTGGACCAAGATGAGGATTTTCGGAAGAAAAAGAAGACCTGCTGGGCGCTTTCTTCTTCTTCTTCTGCTTCTTCTTCTTTTTACTCACCCGGACTTTTGAGTCAAAAGTGACCGCTTTAAATAAGAAACCTCGGCGGATCTTTTCCTCTTTTTGTGTGTGTGTGGTCTATCTTAATTTCCTGGGAACAACCTCCCCTCACTATTCTGTAAATATCAGCGTTCCCGGAATTTTCCGCCTGAAAAAGCTGCGCTGGTCTCTGCTAATCATCCATTTCTTTTCAATTTCAACAGTATGCCAACCCCGCATATTCAAACCTTGCAATTTTCCTTTGAAATGCCACCTTTCTTCGGGAGGTAGCTGCGATTTGCATTACTTTCTCAATAAGTACAGTACCTGTTTCTCAAAATTGTTAGAAAGAGATGAGGTTGCAAATCATGTAAGTGGGTATACATTTTACAACATGTTACAATATATGTGCATTCTATTTGATTGTAATGGGAAATTTTTGGACAAAATCTAAAGAACAAATCATTGTTATAGAAATAATTTGATATTAGTCAAATTCAAAATCAATTCTTGTCTAAATCCAAATTTGGGTTTCTTTGTTTTTGAATCATTGCAGTTTTAGAGTCAATGAAAAGGAAGAGCGTTTCTTACTTAGGGGGTCGTCAACATTTTATCAAAAATATGTTTGACTGAAAGCCCGTGCATGTTGGACACAATTAAATGCCCTAATATACAAGTACTGTATAGATAATTATTAATTTCATTATGTATGCAACACAATTTTCCAATAAAAAATGCGTTCATTTCTGTAAGTTCATCACTTTGAAAGTTTGGGATTTCTGCCAAGAATTTCTCCATCTTTTTTCTTTTGTGCACCTTTTCTCAATAAGATTGAAGCATTTTTTATGTGTGTAACTTATTGCCAAATAGTTGCTGGTCAAACCTGAGTTTTTTTTTTGTGTGGAAAAATATTCTTTTTTTCTAATTAAACTTCTGCAGGTTTTTGCCTTTTGTAGGACAGAAATTTCTTCCAGAAAACGCAGGAAGGAACAGATTATCTGTGTTGTGATGTAACCCCCCTGCAAATACACAAGCCAAAAGAACATATAGCTATTCATATGCAGTAACGTATGACAGGTTTCAATTTGATTATACTGTATACCTGAAAGGAAGGCCTATAGTTACAGTAGACGCATATACAGAAGAACATTCCTGATTTTAGTTCATATAATTATCTATCATTGTAAATTGACCATAGTCTTTTTCCCAACCCAAATCATAAAAAATATGCAGAAGTGATTGAAGGTACAGTACTGTACATTAAAAATGCATGAGAGTGGGAATTGTGATATAAGCTCATCGGTCGTCAAGAAAAAAAAATTGGACCACTTTTCTTCAACTAGTCAGTACAGTATATATGCTGTTTTAATAAGTGGGTTGGGGATTTTGAATTCTAGAAAGTTTTTGGCCGCAGGCTATATATGGAGAGTACGGCACTTCCTCTCCGACATGACTTTAAAGAAGTACTTCTTGTTGTTGATCTGTTATTTCCCCCAGCAGCTTCCTGAATCAATCAGTGATGGACACCTGCTGCCGGCTGCAATTTCTGAAATGATATAGTGTTGGTTGCTGAATTAAGACGCTCACAAACTGAAAACTGGATTTAAAATTAGATTCAATCATTTCAAAAGAATTGCTAGTTAT